GAGAGAGAGAGAGAGAGAGAGAGAGAGAGAGAGAGAGAGAGAGAGAAAAGAGAATACCAATTTGGGCATGTGAGCTGGTGGGGCTTGGGGTTAGGCCTCAGGATGGGCTCCTGTAAGTACCAGCTGTCAGCGGGGAGGTCTCTGAGCACTCTTTCTAGAGGCCGGCCTCCCAGGATGAGTCTGAGGCTGGGCTTGGCCAGAATCTGGTCTGATGCCAGGAGGCCGAGATATAGGGAGGTGACTGGAGGCAGGCGGCATGGTCCCACCGGCAGACCTGGAGGTCCCAGGGCCCTGCGCCTTCTTGTCGAGGGTCTGGCTTTGGCTGGAAGAATGAGGCATGGTCCCTGGAAAAAGAACCGAGACAAGAATGAGGATGTGAGATTTTGCTGCAGTTTTTTGGTATCGAATGGAGCCCTTGGGAGCTGCCCTGCTCTGTAGGTAGATTTCAGTCCTATTTGGTGACCTGAGAAAGGTGAGATCACCCTCACATCTGGGGTTGCCTTGGCCTAGCTGTTGCATAAACAGATCTGCTGGAGGAATATGACCTTCTGGCTCGAGAACTAGAATTTGAACGCTGGTCCTAGGCTAGACTCTCTGAACCTGGTTTTCTTGAGTATAAAGTTGGGACAACAGCAGCCTCACAAGCGGCTGCCAGGGTCAAACATGATGATAGTGGAATCAGATTAATTTCCAGCTCTTTCAATTGTTTCCTTTCCTTCTCCTAACTCCAAGTTAGGGGCAATTACTGGCTTGTTCTTTGCCAAACCCAGTTTCTGGGGCACAGAAAGGGACTCATTTTCCACTATGGATGTGTGTGGCCTGTGACTGAAGTCGAGGATTGATGTGCACCACTTCCAGGTGTGTCTTCTAGGCCCTTCCCCTTGCACTAGCTTGACGCAGGCGGAGCCAGGATGGAAGGAGCCAGGGTCCCCACATCATCATTTGTAAGAAAGTGGCCATCAAATGGAGACACCCAATTTGGACATTATGTTGAGTGAGAAGTAGACTTTTATTGTGTTTGAGCCATTAGCTTTTTGGTGCCGGTGTGTTGCAGCAGCTAAGATCATTCTAGTGAATACTTTAAGAAGAGAATCTAAGTGACGGCAGCAGTGAGGCCATTGGAATTTTCCGGACTAAAGATTGACCATCTTTCTAAGCTCCCATGGATATGTTCAGATAACACTTAAATTTTTTTAAAAAATCAAATACTGCATTACTGGTTTAATCCATATAAAATTGAAAGAGCTTTAATAAAAATAAAAATGTGAAGAAAGGAAAACTTTCAAAAGCAGCCAGGAGAGAAAGGAGGGAAAGGAGTGGTAAGGGGGACAGCCACATGGGGTCCTGGGGCCATGGCCAGGCCACTGACAAACCAGTGTAAGTTTCTTGGTTTCTCATGGAAAACATTTTGTACACTTATCTTTTCCTTTCATACTTAAGTCCATCAGTGTCCAAATATGTCCATTCCATTTTTTTGTTTTGTTTTGTTGGTGATATTACAACATAGTATTGTATTTACTCCATTTCCTGACCTGTGTGGATTTCTTTTTGTTTGTTTGTTTGTTAACCCTCACTCGAGGATATTGTTTCCATTGCTTTTCAGAGAGAGTGGGAGGAAGAGAGAGAGAGAGAAACATCGATGTGAGAGAGACACATCAATTGGTTGCCTCCCACATGTGCCCAGCCAGGGCGGGGGATTGAGCCTGCAGCCGAGGTACGTGCCCTTGGTCAGAATTGAGCCTGGGACCCTCCGGTCCGCGGCCTAAGCTCTGACCAGCAAGCAAACTGGCAGGGCTGACACAGAGTTCTTGTCCTCTGTTTGCAACATCCACGTGTTCACGTGTTATTATTCAATAGTAACTTGTTAGCATTCCCATGTCAACACTCCGTACTAGAATCCTTGTTAGTATTCTAACATCAGCAGGATGTTTGCTAGAGATGTACATGGGTGCCCGGCTTCTCCCGGCCCCCTTCCACAGTCGCCCTTCCCTAGTGGATCTGGAGAACTGAAAATAAACTGATGAGGGATTTTCATCCTGCAGGGGAATAACTGCTATGTGCTTCATTTCTCTTGTTTCTTTTTCTCAGGGTCTTGCCTACAGGTTCTAAAAGCATCAAATAAATGATTAATTTCTGCACTAAAAATTATAACTCCTAAGCCATCAGTCATTTCTTGTGCCTCTTGCTCAATTCTCACACCAAGGGCCAAAATCTCAGCATACTGGCACGATTTAATTTTAAAACAGGAACAATCCCTGGAAAATGAGATCACCTCAGAGATGGTCTCTTTCAATTTGACCCTTTCTTACTCCCAGGTGGAGATGGTTTCTGATTAGTTCCCTCTGAAGCCCTGTGACACTTCCTTTGGAACATATGTGATCATTTCTCATCCTTTCAGGCCAGATATCCTAGTGCTTTTTTTGGGAAAGAGAATACAAACAAGTGGCAGCTGTGAGGTGCGAATCTCCCCATTCCTCCTGCTAAAGAAATCATTCCAAACAATTGTCCCCACCCGCAGGCAGCTGGCGCCACACAGCCCACGCCTTGAGCATCTTAAAGGGGTGGTGGGACACCAAGAGTGCTCCTACGCTGGGTTAAGCAGCCAGACGTCAAGGGGGTATGACATGGGCACTAACAGATTCGAGAGAGAAACTGAAGATGACAAAATCATTTTAAAAACAATACTAAATTACAGGGAACATAAAGAAGCGAAGTCACCACCAAAGATGTCATGAGAGACCTGAAGGACAGAAATGAGTGAGACAAGCCTGCAGGACAAGTGGTGCTATTTCCCCCTTGACAGAGACACCGCACCTCCCACCAGCCTGTTTCCGTGGGTGCCTCCTCGGGGCCGGGAATTCTGCGAAGCGCTTTAACACTCACCCATCTCATTCTAGCCCCTCGTGAGGTCGGCACCATAATTTAGCCTCATTTTCACTGGCCCAGTTCCATACAGCTAATCATCCAAATTCTGATTTCAACCCCAGATCCGTCTGATTTCACAACACATGCTCTTTCCACCTTCCCCCGTGGCCTTGTAAAAAGTGATCATGAAACGGAATTTACCTGCTTTGGTGGCACTTTTGGAGCTGCCGGTAGCTGTGTCCTCTGAGCCTCTGGCCGCGGCTCCGCCTTTGGCAGCCTTGTGGCTCTTCTCATCCTCACGGAGCTGCAGGGAAATAGCAGTGGTCAACCTTGGCCCGGGGAGTGGGTGTTTGGCCCCAGGATGGGGGCTGCAGAGGGCAAGGACTCTGTCTTCTGCTCTTGGGAATCACCTTAAATCACTTGTCATTCGTCCTCACAGCTGACTGCAGAGGGCGGCCGAGGCTCAGGTTTACACAGCATTAGAAGGAGCGTCTGGCCAGGGGGGATGGAAACCTCCAACTCTCTGTTCAATGGTTTTCTTTATCCAGGCAGGAGCCCAGTAAGATTAAGGAAGTGGGCATGGGGATGGGGAACTGGCTGTGAGGCAGGTGACATTAGTTCCAGAAGAGGCATCAAGAAAGCAAGGAGGGCGGGCTTATGTCGAGGTGGGGCGGCCGGAGAGTGGCACAGAGCAGTCAGTCAGCTAACGCTGAGACAGGCTGTCCCCGGTGGAGGGAACTTCCAACACCTCCTAGGCCACAGGTCACAAGCCGTATGTGGTTTTGACAGCACTATTTGTTTTTTTTAGTATTTATAGTATTAGTATTAATCTATAGGAATTACTGTGGGTACTGGTTTTATTATGTGTGAACATTGGTTGAATTCATTGAATTTCTCCTGTTCTTCAGCAACCTCTCAACATTTGAATAATTGTTATATATACCCAAATATCTTGAGACTATAAATGCAGGCTGTTGAATCATACGGATATTTTTGGTTTGAGTTTAGAAGAAAGACATTTAGAGTGTACATCTGGGTTCACAGAGCAAATTAGCAAAACACAAAAACATGACATCATTTTTACCATCTGGAATGAAACCTGAGACAGAATGAAACTTGTGACAGACTCACCGCTTGGATTTTCTTCCTTAGCTGGGCATTAGCTCGAGAAAGGCTTTTGGAAACCGAGTTCAGGTAGTAGATGGCCAGGCTGTAAGAGAAAAGCATGCCTCCTGTGATACTGGTATTTTGGAAAATGACAAGAGCTGGATGCCTTTCCTGAGGAATCAGGGCAGGCTTCCTGGAATAGGTGGCAAGGCTTTGCCTCCAGGCAGGATGGGAGGAGGTCCTACCATCCCAAGTCCCCCACTTAACATGTAAAAAAGGTCCTGGACGTCCCTGCTCTCTGTATTTGATGGAACGTGGAAATGACCTCCACATTTCTACCTCTGAGTGCTCAGTAAAATTTGGCTAAAGGAATCATCCCTCTTATAGGGAATCTGAAGGGGCAAGGGAGTGGCAGGGTTTCCTGTCTGCAGAAGAATCTGCTTGTGTTTCCTGGGCACCTGCCCGGTGCCAGGCTCTGTGCCATGCACATCCCACTCCACATCTCACTGGTTTGGACAAAGCTCCATGAAGTAGAAAGGATGACTCCCATCTTTACAAATCAGAATCCTGGAGTTCAGAGAGGTTAAGTAATTTTCCCAAGGTTACCCCATTGATTAGTACTCCTCAGAGTGCAATTTGAAGTAAAAGATTTTAACAATCTTCAAGTATGGAGGGAGGCAGAGCTGCTAAGTACCTGCCCCAAGTTTAGCTAAAAACACAACTGCAGATGCCCTGCAGGCCCCCTGCTCAGATGCACTGATGGGAACGTCTGTCCTGGGTTGCTGGTTTTCAGCGTCTGGCTCCCACTGGCTGACTTCATGACTTGATGTCCTTTGAGGCTGTAGCCTGGGCTTCCCTTTCCCAGGCTATGACCTGGTCTGTACCACCTGAGAACAGAGGGCCCACCTGGACTGGATGCTCAGCCAGCCTGTTACCTGGGAGCTTTTTAGGTTCATCCTAATTGTCACTTTTCTCCATGAATTTCAAGCCTTAGCTCCTCCAGCTTGGGTCTTCTGAACCTTCCCCTCAGTGTGGGGCCACCCATAGCCACTTCAGTAGGATCTACAAGCTCTCTCCCTACAGAGAAGAGGAACCACATTGTCTTTGTAGCAGAATGTAGGTGGAAGGCTGTTATGGGAGCCTCCTGAAGCAAAGGAGAGAAGGGAGGGCGGGTAAAGGGACCACTCCGTCTTGGCGCTTACTCTGCCCTTTCTCTAGCGCATTAGGGAGGAGCTAGAGGTCAGAGCAGATAAAGTGCTTATGGGTGGCTGTGTTCCTCCTGAGGCTGCCTGCAAGGGTCAGGTTTGGTGTCTGGGTTCCAGAATCTTCTCAGAGGGTCACAGGGCATTCCAGGTTGTTATATCATGTCAGCACTCTCTCATGGCAGGACTAGAAGCAGATGTTTGAAATTGAGGATGAATAGGTCTCCAAAACATGCCTATTTTGGAGAGCAATTTAGCACTATCTAGAAAGAACAAAGAAACACATCCCTGTGACCCAGAAGCTGCACTCCTAGAGGTCTATATCAGAGAAACTCACAAGGAGACACATACAAGGAGCACATTTGCAATAGCAAAAAAGTGGAAACAACCTAACTATATCTATGCAGAGAAATGAGTCAACTGGTTTATTCATTCACACAATGGAACATAATAGAAACATTAAAATCTGTTCTCAGGTATTCACATGGGTAAGTCCCCTAAACAGAATGTTGAATGAAGAAAGCTATGTAGTGTGTGAACCATTCATGAAAAATTTTAAACTCAGAAAACAATAGTACATACACACATGATAAAAGTACCAAAATAAGTATGACAATGATTAAAACTAATTAAATTAGTGGTTACCTTTGGAGAGGGAGGAAGAGAGGATTGGGTAGAGCTTGAAGTGTATCTATAAAACAAGGTTTCTCTTAAAAAGAGATATGAAGCAAATATTGCTAAATGTTAACATCTAATCTTATGATCACATATGTGGTTGTACTTTTCTGTATGTTAGAAATATTTCATAATTTTAAAAAATGCTTGCCAAAAATAGGCATTTATAAAGAAATAAATTAATATTTTCACTGGTATTTTTTTCAATCACCCGAGGACCTGCTTAGAGAGAGGAAGGGATATGAGTGAGAGAGAGACAGCTATATGAGAGACAAATGCCAATCAGTTGCCTTCCATATGCTCCCCAACTGGAGATGGAACTCACACCCCAGGTATACGCCCTGACCGGGAATCGAGCCACAACCTTTTGGTACATGGGATGACACTCAACCAACTGAGCCACTCGGGCAGGGCTTCACTAGTATATTTTTGATGATGGTAATTCAAATTCATGGCTCTAGCTTCCTGCCTTCTTTTTTTCTTCCTTCCCTCGGTCCCCCCTTAAGCATTCATTGTTTGCCTCCTATGCCCTATGCATGGGGCTGGTGTTGGGAATACAGAAATCATCAGACCCACCCACTATCCACAGGGGTTTCTCAGTCTTTGAGAGGGATAGTGGTGAATGAATGAACCAGATATTCCAGGGCATGGGGTGCTCCATGGAGAAGTCCCATGGGCCCTGCCAGGGACAGGCTGAATCAGCCCCTCAGCTTTCACAGAGCCCAGAACCCAGAGGTCTTAGATATTCCTAGTAAACGTTTAGGAGGGTGTTGCGGATAATATCAGCACCCACCCATATTCCTTAGCTCCTATCTTTCAATATGCTCCCTGAAAGACTTGCAACTGCCAGCACCTTTACTTGTGCCTGACACTTCCCCGCACCCCCTCCACAGAAACCCTTCTACCGGAAACACAGCTGGCCCGTATTGCCTGGCAATGAACCAATGCCTCTCCCCTGCTGTGATTCCCAGCAGCACTCATCCAGTGGCTGATGGGAGCTGGCGTACAATTGCCCCAGATCCCTCACCTTTGAGTGGGGTAGCTCTGAAGCACAGTTCCCAGAGTTCCCCAGCAGGACTAGAGGCATCCCAGTGATAATAAAGCAGCTCCCTGTCCCTTCTGTCTTCCCCACCCCCTTCCCCAAAAAGCCACTTGCATTTGAATCTTAGTCTCAGGATCTGCTTCTGGGAAATCCAGCCTAAGAGGGCAAGAAAGAAGGACCTGCCAAGGATGATTCAACTGTGCAAGGGAGGTTTCCATGAGGCAGAGCCATGGGCCTTGGCTAACTTACAACATCAGCAGGATGGCTGGGATGATCAGGCCTGGATTGGCGAGGAACGCAAAGATCTTGCCCAGGAAGGTTGGGAAATCGTTTTCAACTGTCTCTTGGATGACGTCATACATTCTGTTTTTCCCACTGGAAAGAAGGGGACACGTTGTGGCACACTGCAAAGCTCAGGTGGCATGGGACTGTGTGCAAGCCCCTCCCCTCTGCAGGTCCAAAGCTGCCACTCACCACTGGTGGAAGAACCAGAGGTCTGCTCCACCTGGGCAGATTATAGTCTGTTGTGAGCACTCCTGCTAATGTCTCCTCTGAGCTCCCATGGCACTCATCGTGGGGCACTAACCACAGGACTTTATCTAGCTAAGTGCCTTATAAACTGAAAAGTACCAGATCAGCATTTCTCAAAGTGTGTCGATCCACAGTAGGAGGCAGGGCAGGGACTAGAATGAGGCGGGTGAGGCTCTGGGGTGCACAATTTAAGGAGGTATTCACTCTTAGGGTCATGCAAGTGCAGGGTTGGCACCTCACCCCACTCCTGGCCCTGGATGGGTATTACATGAAGCAAGGGTCTGTGGCTAATAAGGATGGAAACATTAGCTTGCACATCTTATCTTATTGCACAATTCCACCAAGGCTTTATTTAGTAAAGGAGCGTGTATCGAGCATTTATTTAAGTGAGAAGGTAGAAGATAAAAGGGACAGGATGTTCTAAGCTGCTTTAACCACAGAGCCCTTTTTATGGAGTAGAGAGAGGGCTTTGTTTCTAGAGGCTCTCACATTTGGAAAGAGAGTGGCAGATGCACATTATTTCTCAATCTACCTCCTTACATAATTATTGATTTCTTTATACAATGTCCAGTCTCCTAAACTCGTCTGACTTATACCTTGAACCCATAGTGCTGACAAATGCTCTATAGATCGTGGGGACCCTGTCAAGACTCTCAGTAGCTGCTTCACATTTGAATGGCACTTATCAATATATTGTCATTTCATCTTCAGAATATCGCCCCCCTCCTTACAGTACTCATCCTGTGGTAAGGTAATCCAGGGCAGTAGATTATCCATATATTAAAAGGTTAGATTTGTGCTGTCCAACATGGTAGCTATTAGCCACATGCGGTTATTTAAATTAAAATGAATTCAAATGAAAAAAAATTAGTCAGTTTCTCAGTCCTCATTTCAAGTGTTCAACAGCCATGTGGCTGGTGGCTACCATGTTGAATTGAGCAGACACAGAACATTTCCTTCCTGCAGGAAACTGCTGAGCAGCACTAATGATTTGCCCAAAGCTCCATGGCCTTCTGCAGGCTGATGTGACACCAGAACTGGAATTCTGAGCCACTGCTCTCTGAGCAGACTGCCCGGGGGTGGGGGCAGCTTCTCTTACGGAACCAACGCTGTGCACCTGAATGGCCCGCAGTCAAAGGAGGGCGGGAGGGACATGATGGTGTAGGCCACTGGCAGGAGGCTGAGGAAGAGCACCAGCAGCAGGAGGCCCATGTAGAAGTTGTTGGATCGGGAGGCTTTGAACACGCGTTCGTGGGGGACGTTACTGCTCATCACCGCCCAGCACTGGAAGTACATGGAGGTCAGCAGGCGCAGCACGTTGATGCCCACCAGGCCCGGAGCATAGAAGGAGCCCATCCTGGAAGGGCAGAAACCACACAGCTGGTTGGCCTGGCAGCAGGAGAGGCCAGGGGAGGATGACAGGAGGAGGTGGGATTGATGGTTAGGGCAATGAGGCCTCGCTGCTTTCTCTGTGGACCCCCAGGGAAGGGGCCTCCCATTTAACCAGGGCATTTTTCACTGCCCCAGAGCCACTCAGTCCTCAGGAGAAGGAGACACTTGAGCATTATTTTCTCACTGCCAGAGATCTAGCAAATTACATGGCCTCCTCTCTGTTCTCCATGGTTTCCCTAAAGTAGCATTGCTGCTCAGAAAAGTATTTGAAAAGTTCTTAGGAGAATTGGACACTGATCTGCACTGACCCGCTGGCATCTTGAAAGTCTTTGGCTGAAGTTTTGCAGCCTCCTCTAACTCCCTCTTCAGAGGAGGAAGTTCCTTAGTTCATTTACCTCCCTCCTTCTTTCCTCCGTTCCCCCTCCCTCCTCCTTTCTTTTCTTTCCTCCCCTGCCTAGCTTTTCCTTCCTTCCTTATTCCCTCCCCCCCCCGCCCCCCTTCTTTCTGTTCTCTCTCTACCCCTCCTCTCCTCCCCTCCCTAAGGCCACAGTATCACGGAGTGGGACAGACGCTGTCCCGGTTCTCATCTAGTCCTGCCCTCTATTTTTCATGTGAAAGAAGGGAGCTCAAGCCTCTCCCCAGCTAGCTGAGAGACCAAGCCTGGGGTTCCAGTTTTTCAACTCCCCAAATGAAGTGATCCCCAGATGAACTGGGTAACTCACCAGATCATTCCTTGGTTGAAGATCAAACCAAGCACATTTCCACTGATGTCAAACTCAGCATACGAAGGCTAGAGAGAGAGAGAGAGAGACAGACAGACAGATAGATAGACAGAGAGAACATTTTAGATGGTGTCAGCAGACTACTACCAGCCAACTGGCCAAGCCAGGGCCGCTCCATCCCAAAGAGCCTGCTCTGGTGGCCAGAGAGGAACCTCGATTCAGGGTTCTGCTTCTTAAACATGTTTTCACCTTTAAAAAACATTTTCAAGTTCTCAAAGTTGAAACTTTTTCCAATATCTTTTTAAAGACAAAAATATGAGAGGTTTTGTGTGTGTTTTTTTACCTCTTTTAGGGCCTGTAGGCTGACTGTGTGCTCTTGAGAGGACCCTGGCCCCTAAAAGAACATTTTAATCAATGCTCTTAGCAGAAATATACCCTGAAATTATAATCAAGGAGTAACTCTAATAAATAATGAAGTGCAAATAATTAAACGAGAAGTCAAGTGAAAAGAAAGCTTAAAAAACAAACAAAAATAAATAAATCACTCCTCTAATTCTCCTCTCATCGTCCTCTGGTCCTAGGGCAGTCATGGGCAAGAGAAGGCTCAGCTAGATACATATTTTCAGCCTGACTCCGATTTTCAAAGTTTGGAAGATTTGTGAAGTATTTGAAAGAACACAAATTTGGGAGCACTGGGAAGTTGGGATCCTCATGAAACATGCTTAAACCCACTTCCCAATTTGTCTTCCAGGAATGGAGATAAAAGTTTCCAGGAATGAGAGGTTAGGAGAGAGAAAAAGGAAGGTCAGGCACGCATGGATCAAAGAAGGAAGCAAGCATAATACAACACACGAAAAATCTTGGGAATTTAACATTTTAAAATATTTTTAAAAAACCTTTATCTACTGGGTTTTGTATCTTGCTTAGAAAAATCTGCTTCATTCCAAGATTATAAGTTTTATATTACATATGTTTTCTTTTAGAAAGTTGTGATTTCATTTATTTGATGTTCAAAACTTTAATTCACCTGCAATTTATTTATTTAGGTGAAATCAGCGAGAAATAGAGCTTCCCTTCCAATGATTAACCAGTTGCTTCAATCCACTTGTTATATAATCCTTCATTTCTCACTGGTTTGAAAGCCTTCCTGTATCATAAATTAAATTCCCATATTGATTGTACCTATTTCTGGACTTCCTATTCTATCCATTGATAACTTTGTCTATTCCCTGGTATCAGTTTTAGTAACTATAGCCTTATAGTATGTTTTACTATAAAGGTAGGTCTAGTTCCTTTCATTCTGCTGTTCTAAATTTTTTCCTGGCTATTTCCACATGCTTATTTTTCAAATAAACTTTGCTATTACTTTGGGATCTTGTTGAACTTATAAATTAATTTGAAAGCAGTGACGTTTTAGCAATGTCATGACATAAAGATGCCATCTTTTTTGAGCACGAGGTTCTTGCACCCTTGTTCTCAGATAAGATTATGAAGTTTCCCTCACTGAGGAGGAGTTGAGTAGGCCCGTGTAAAACTGGCTAGCTCCTGAAAGAAAAAAATATCTTAGAGACCTATACTAAACCCTTACGTGGGCCACATACCCTGCTTCAGGCTGGGATGAGGTGACCAAGTAAACAAAATATGGAGCTCGGTTAAGGGGGAGATCCCAGCCAAGACCAGTGGCCAGTAGGAGGGCAGTGAGGTGTTTGGAAAGAGACATTCACAGGACAGATGGGGCCAGAGGTTCTGCCACATCACAGAAGGCCACTACAGACAGGAAATGACACACATTTAGACTGAGCAGTTTCCCAGGTAGGTGGGGAAGAGGCGTAGGCCAGGTGGAGGAAATGAGCCAAAGAGGTTAGTCAAAGCACAGTCCAGAAGGCAGGACCAATAGCTATCGTGCTCTTGGTATGCTCCAGGAATTTCTGAAACATTCCCATCCACATCTGCCCTGCCCCACTCCAGGATTTCATTAGAGTTTCAAAATGAGGAGCTACCCTTCCCCTTAGCACTTTCTCTCTGTTCCTGTAGCTCACACAGTGTGGACTTCGAAGCCTCGTGTTCCTTGCCTTCCCCAGTGAGTTGACGCTGTTTCAGCATTTCTCTACCAGCCGTCTGCTCAGCAATGAAGCATGACCTTTCCCAAGGCCAAATGCCTCCATTTCCCAGATAAGAATTTCATACTGTTAACTGCATTGGGAAAAGGCAGATGGGACACCTAAAGGAAATACACATTAAATACTTTTCTGCTTCACAGAGCAGAGACCAGCACTAAGGATATAAAGAAATGCGCAAGAATGCATGTGGCCCTATCAGAGAGGATGGCTCAGACAACTTCCTGTGGAATGCCTGTGAAACGGTGACCTACAAATCCAGCCTCCAGGTCCCAGCACCAGCAGTAGTTCATGAACCGGACAAAACAAGCCCGCAGGAAGTCCCCCACCAGGATGGTGATGTACGTCACCAGCATGTCGGACACCGTCAACCTCATGAATTCCTGCAAGGAGGAACACAGAGGAAGGGGGTGGTCAGGGTGGGACCTTGCCCACTTCTCCCAACTGACTGCAGCCACCCACCTGCATTCTCCTCTGTGATCCTCTGATCTTGGGGGGCAGAGTGGTGGTGGTGCAGGGCAAGGACCCAGGCTTTGAAAAATTCTTATATAGGTCTCAACTCTATAATTACTAATTGTATTGCTTTGTAATAGTCTCTGAACCTCTTGAAGTTGATAATATTAACCTTGCAGGGTTAATGGGAAGCTTAGTGATTATGTATGGAAATTGCCTGGCACGCTGGCACTGCCCAATGCATGGTAGTTATCAGCACTAATGCACGGATATAGGATCTGAAGTCTCGTCCCTTACTTTCCTCACTTGCTCTGAAATACCAGCTGCCCCAGCTAAGACTGAATCTGATCATTGTCACTGGGGACAACAGCTGGCTTTCTTTACCTCCAGCTAATTGGATTTTTTCCTTGTTACACAGAGAAAATAATGTAGGGTTTTCACAGAGGCACATAGGAGAAGAGGCAAAAACAAAGGCGTGTTCTTTGTAGAGTATCTATAATTTATTACTTTTGTGGGAAAATTTAAAGACCTACCAGATAATAGTATAACCTTTAAGACATCTAGTAGACTTGGAATTCCTAGGGAGTACAGGGTCCGCTTTATTCATCTTTCTATCCTCCAAGATCATTAATAACTTTCTGCTCTATGAACAACTGGTGAGTTTTCAGGGTTATTCCTCAGTAAGAATTCAGAATTAATGCTCCTAAGTAATAGTCAACTCAACATGCATCAGGTCTCCGCTCTGTGCAAGGTGATGCTCAGGGGCCGGGCTGGAGGTGGTGGTAGACACAGGTGAGCAGGACATAATGACTCGAACCCATCACTGCCAACTAGCTCAGAAACAAGTTTTCATCAGTGACTGGAACAGTGATGGGCACTCCGGGAGGAGGGCAAGAGAGTTGCCTCCCAAGGATGTGAGGCAAGAAATGACAGCCTGTATAGCAGAATATTCCAAAAGAATCATGTAGGTAGTGAACTCTCTTTGGCCTTCTAAAGAGGATGGGTTTTATTGACTTGAAGATTCTTTCTCTGTTACACATTGTGATGAGTTGAGTGCAGGAGCTGGGCAAGCTCAGTGGCCCTGCACCTTGAAGACAAGGAGGATTTGAAGAGCATGGGGAATCTGGACTGGAGGAGGCAAGAAATGGTGAGTCTGAGCCCTTGGGAAGGCATTGGGAAGAAAAGGCCCCCAGGACCCCAGGGGCAAGGACAGATATTTTTCCCTGTGGGATTCTGCAGGCGGTGAACTTGTAGGCAGTGTTTAGCAGAGTGTGTGATGCAATTCCCTCCTTCATTGTACTTTATCATCCTCAGTTAAAAACACTGTTGTTTGATGCTCTGTGTGAGTGGACTCTTCAGGGAACCCATGAAAAAGTCATAAACTCTGCATCTCAGTGGGGTGGCTGATGACTAGAAGCCCCACGCAGTGAGATGGAGTTGAGGCAGCTGATCCCTGTGTTACCCGTGAATACTTTAGGGTTCTGCCTAAGAAGGCCAAGAACACTAGGCTTTGAAGTCCACCCTGTGCAAGTTACAGGAATGGTGGTAAAAGTGGACGAGGGGAAATAGTAGTTGCTAATTTTTGAGACTCTAATAAAAAATATTAATTCTCTTCAAAGAAAAATGCACAGATGCACATACACACCAAGTCCTGAATCTAATTTTTAGGAGTATTTATTCATGATTTCCAGATGGAGAACCTTAGACTTTCAGTAAAATCTACAGTAAAACTTTAAAAAAATTCAAAAATTAGATTAATGAATGAAGCATATAGAGAAAGATATGGGACACTGAAAAAATGTGAAAGTGAAAAAGTGGAACTTTCCTAGGAAATACTGACTGGACATTTTAGTAGCTTAAAAATGAAAACATCAAGAAAGAAGTAACAGGAATTGAGAACAGGGATGACCTTTTCAGGAGAGCACAACTACTCACAATGCCCACGGCTGTCTCCCAGCAAGAACCCCGGGGCACGTCGGCAGGGTGCAGGGGTGGCCGGGGGACACTCTCGTTCCAACCCGAGGAGTTGTAATAGTTAAACAGAGTCCAATGAGTGATGTTCTTTATTGTCTCTTCATTAGAAAGCTGGAACAAAAAATGGAGAAGTGGGGTTGGAAGGAACCAGGGATGGTCCAACTGTTTCCACAGGAACAGCAATTAAAGCCAGCACATGCTACAACCTTGCCACCTCATATCTGCCTTACCCCTCAACAGAGTCCCCCCAAATCTAAACAGAAGAGGGAGGCAATTGGCTGAAGTCCTTGGGTCTTTTCCATGAAGTTATCTTCCATCCATCCATGCATGCATCCATCCAAACACTCATTATTCTTTTGAGAATAATTTATTCAGGGTCTGTTCTGGACATATAAGGCAGTGGTGACAGAGGAGCGAACAAGAGATGGAGTGTTCGTCAGAAAGTTCACAGTCTCTTAAGTGACAGAGATGAACAGACAATCACAGAATAGAGTGATAAGAGCTATGGGAAATTTTCTCTGGGGATTGAGGAAATTCATGTCAGACAATGGGGGCCAGGAAGAGTTCCTGGAGGGAAAGGGATCTGAGCCTGAACCTTAGTCAACTAGTCAAGCATGGGGAGAAGGGTGGAGAGAGAGGCAAGAGAGAAGTTTCCAGGAGGAACTGTGAGGTTCAGGAGGGTGGAATAGTCTACTAGAGTAGGAGGGAAGCCAGAGATGAGGCTGCAGCCAGTTCCAATCACTTTCTTGCTTAGAACCTTCGTAGAGCTCCCTTGTCAACCTCAGGAAAAAAGTCATGCAGCTCAGTAATGAGGAGGGAGGGGTAAGGAAGAGAAGCCTCATCATCTGGGCCTTCCCCCAGTGCATTTCCACTTCCCCTCTCCTGTGTTGTTCAGCCGTCCACAGTCCTCTGTTTGCACCAGTTGTTCCCTCTTTCCAGTCTCTGCTGAGATTCCTCAGGGGGCTCTGGAGCCCTTCCTATGCACTGCAGTGCAGCCCTGGCTCGCCCCCATGGAAGCACATCCTGCAGCATGCTGTAAGGGATGAGTCTGTCTCCTGGCCCAGAGGGTGGACACCCTGGAACAGGACTGTTTAGCTCCCTGCAGTACCCTGAGAGCCTGACACAGTGGGTGCTCCATAACCATCTGGTGAGCAATGATGAAAGGTTAGGTCAATTGTGACATATCATCTCAGTGGACACTTGCTCAGCTGGTAAACACTTACGGCAGCTATGAAACCATAGTATTTTATCTGCAGGAAAAGCTTCAGATAAAATACTAGGAGTACCAACTGACATGTATATGATGTGTAAAAAGACAATCTAAGAAAAAGACAACAAAGAACTTCAGCAAAATGGTAACAATGGTTGCCTTTCGGTCACATCCTGGGGCTATTTTTTTCTTCATTTTACTATTCTGACCTTTCTAAAATTTATTTAACTAATATGACTCATACATTAGGAGAGTATTATATTTTAAAAAAGGCACCAGGGGCTGGGGGGAGTTTGTGGTCTTTACCTTGAGGTGGACGTCATCCATCAGGGCCAAGAGAAACGTGTAGAGGTTGCCCAGGAAGAGTGCAAAGATGCGTCCCAGCTGCCACTTCAGCCCAATGCGTGGGTGGTAATTCTCCAGGGCAGCGATTGTTTCAAACAGAGGGGGACAAAACATCCCAAGCAGGGACATCACAATTTCAACCTGAGAGATGAGCAAAACCTGGGTCACTTGCTACATCAACACCACCAGGTTGGCCACCATATCTGCAGCCTTGGGGCCATGCATCTCCCTCTTCTTCTTGTCCCCACCTCTGCCTCTGGAGATGCCCTGGGGTCTCTACAACTTGCTGTTTGACCCTAGTGAAGGCACCCACATGCCTGGAGCAGTCGGCATATGTCCCACACATCATAATTGCTCTGCAACTGGTTGCTATCATGGTTCTTGCTATTAGTATTGATAAAAAATTTTCTTTAAAAAAGAGCAAACTTTCTTTGAGAAGTAAATGAGTTACCCTATGGGACACAGCTTTGTGCTCTGTAAAGTTGTGAGCTAGGTAAGAGTCACCGCGATAGCCCTCATCTCAGGAGACTGGAAAACAGGAAGCTCAGATCACAGAAGGGAACTAAGAGTAGAGGGATGTGGTTGAGAGTGTGGCATTTGGAGTCAGCTCTCTGGGTTTGAGCCTGGCTCTATTACTTGCTGGTTTTGTAATTTAGGAAAAGTGACCTAACTTCTGAGTTTCATATTTCTTCACGTGTAAAACAGTGACACGTACAGTAGTCCTTGTTGTAAGAGTCAGAAGAGATAATAAGCGCACATCTACTAGTCCAGAGCCTGCTAAGTGGTAAGCACTCAATTTTGCCTCCAAGTTTGGGAGAATCTTGACTCTAAAGCTGAACCTGACCACAGTAGAACATTCTCTCTGCAACTAAAACTGCTCACCCAGTGGAGGGTAAGTTCTTGAGCTGCTGACCAAATTGCAGGTTGGTCAATATCTCTGGACCAGTCCTGATGCCCCCAGTTTCTCACACTGACCATTGGCTTGGCTTCTCATCACCTTCATACTTCTAAACCTGCTTAGTTCTTCCCACCCTGAGAACCATCCACAACTGCCCTTCTTGACATGTTTGTCCAACTCTCAACCTAATTTCTGCCTTTGCTACAAAATCCTGATCACATCATTCTTGCCTACTGCTGTTTGTGCTGTGGTTTACTCTTGTCAAGCCTGCTTCCTAAGGAAACTGCAGCCTGCTTAAGAGCAGAATCCGCCCCAGCAGGGTTGGCTCAGTGGTTACAGTGTCGGCCTGCAGACTGAAGGGTCCCAGGTTTGATTCCGGCCAAGGGCACGTACCTGGGTTGCAGGCTCGACCCCTGGCCCTGGTCAGGGCTCATGCAGGAGGCAACCAATTGATGTGTCTCTCACATCGATGTTTCTCTCTTTCTTTCTCTCCCTTCTGCTCTCTCTGAAAGCAATGGAAAAAATATCCTTGGTGAGGATTAAAAAAAAGAGCAGAATCCATCTTGGGCATCTTTTGTACCCTCACACAGCTTAGTGACTTCATGTTTTAGATGGGTTCATTATAAATGGCATGTACCTTTTAAAAAATTCAATCTGGTCCGGCCAGGCGTGGATCAGCGGTTGAGCATGGACGTGGGATCCAGGAGATCGAGGTTCGATTCCCGGTCAGGGCACATGCCTGGGTTGCGGGCTCAATCCCCAGTCGGGGGCGTGCAGGAGGCAGCCGATCAATGACTCTCTCATCATTGATGTTTCTCTCTCTTTTTCTCTCACTCTCCCTTCCTCTCTCTGTAATCAATAAAGATATATTAAAAAAAAAAATTCAATCTGATCATTATTATCTTTATTTTTCAAAATTTTAAATTTTTTATTATATTGTTGACAGTATTACAGATGTCTACCATTTTCTCCTTCCTTGCCACCCTCTACCCAACTCCCACCCCACTCCAGATCTTCCCAGTATTGTCTTAAACTGTAGATTTAATCTGTTTACATTTACTGTAACCACTGATATATTTAGATTTAAATCTATCTATTTGTTTGCTTTATATTTGTCTTACCAGTTTTATATTTCTTTTTCTATCCTTTCTTGCTTTCTGGGAATAGACAAATTTTTTTCTTATTATTTAATTTACTTAGCTTATGATTGTGTGGGTCAGTATTTGATTCTGGACTTAGCTAGGTGGTTCTTTTGCTGGTCTCACTTGGATTCATTCATGAATCTATGGTCAGCTGATGGTTGATGGCTTCATTCACATGCTGGTGGCTGGCTGGCTATCATCTGGGGTGATGAGCTAACTGGGCCATGCATCTTATCATTCAGCAGGCTAGCCTGGAATTATTTAAATCATGGAGGTCTCAGGGTTCTCAAGAGAGCAAATTCCAATACACAAGCACTTTTCAAGTCTGCTTGTATCATGGCAGCTGCTGTCCCATTGGCTAAAGCAAGTCACATGGCCAAACTTAGCTGGATTCAAGAGATGGGGAAACAGATTCCAACTCTTCATGGGAGGAGCTAGAAAATCACATTGCAAAGACATGTGCACATAGGGATGGGAGGAATTTGTAGCCATTTTGCCAACTACCACAGATGTCAAATTCCCAAAAGAGATTTATGGATTCAATATAATCACAATAAAACTTTAATGTGTTTTATTGTGGATCCTGATGAGAAAAATCACTCTACCAGGTATCAAGATATACTATAAAGCCATAGTTTATGAGTGTGTTATTAATGCAGAAATAGAAAAATAGACCAATGGAATAGAAAAGGGAGCCCAGAATTATAGCTATGCATTAATAAACACTTGACTTATGATATATGGCACTGTAGAGCTGTGAGGAAAGGATCACCTTATTAATAACTGGTGTTAAAGGCTATCCTGACTGACATGCTAATTAAATCCAGCTATATCTAGCTACAGAAGATTAATAATGGGTGACTCTTTGTTCAAGATGTTTGCATTACTAGACTAAAAAGAGATGTAATTTCACTTTTTAAAACCAGTCTTCAGCTGAATGGCATAGGAAGCAGTGTAATTTCAAAATCTGCTCCTAATGTTCACTTCCACAGAGATGCCCTCCTTACCTCATTCCTTTCATACCAGCTGACGTTCTGCATTTTGGAGAATTCCTGGGATCGCTTCACCACAAAGTAAATGAGGTACCCACTCCCGCACAAACAGCAGATGATGAGGAAGTTGGCCAGGACACGGAGAAATCTTGTCAGGTGGATATTTTCTTCTTTGTTACTCTCTTGTTCATCCACTATTGATTCCTTAATGTGTGGAAATCAGATATGAATAATGTAAGGCCGGGAACCGTTGTTGGATTCCTGAGATGACTACTCTCTCTATTTCCATGAATGAAATCATACAGCGGGGTGATTTAAAGCACTGCTGCCCTAAGGAGAAGGAGTTCTTTCCTTTAGGAAAACACATTTTGTTGTTACTGTTACTCTGGTCCACGTAATGACAAAAGCTTAGATTTATTAAATAATTACTGTGTACCAGATGTGTTGCTAAATACTTCCTATGCATTTTCCCTCTTAATCACAACAACAAACCAATAGAGTAATTACTATTATTTCCCATATCGCGGATACTAAGGATCAGAGAAATTTCAGTAATTGATTGGGATGGTTTTAAATCTATAGATCAAATAGATTAAAATTGATTCTTATTATTGAGTCTTCTATCCAGAGGCTGGCTTTTTCTACAAAAAGGTTATAGCCCTAGCTGGTTTGGCTCAGTGGTTAGAGCATCGGCCCTCGGACTGAAGGGTCTTGGTTTCTATTCTGGTCAAAGGCATGTACCTCAGTTGTAGGCTCACTCTGGAGGCAACCAATCAATGTGTCTCTTTCACATCGGTGTTTCTCTCCCCCGCCCCTCTTCCTTCCACTCTCTCTGAAAAGCAATGGAAAAAATATGCTCAGGTGAGGATTAAAGAACAACAACAACAACAAACTTCTGGTCAATTTTTTTCTGTAAAAAGCCAGATAGTAAATCTCTTTGGTTTTGCAGGCCATGTGGCCTCTCTCACAACTACTCAGCTATGTCATTGTAGCATGAAAGCAACCATAGAGAAGATATAAATATATGGGCATGGCTTTGTTTCAATAAAATCTTATTTAAAAAAATAGGCAGCAGGCTGGATTTGGACCCTGGGTCATAGTTTGGCGACTTCTGTTCTAATCCATGAGCATGATATATCTCTCCATTTATTTAGAGTTTCTTAATGTCTTTCAACAATATTTTTTACTTTCAGTGTAGCAATCTTCATTTTTTTTGGGTTAAATCTATTCCTAGAAATTTTTATAATTTTTGTAATAGTATTATAAATGGAATTTAAAATTACTTCCTAGTTGTTTTCTGCTAGCATATGAAACTACAATAGATTTTTTATTATTAACCTTATCTCCTGTACCTGTAACTCTATGAAGACACAATTAGTATATGGCAGACCAGGGTGTAAAATGAGGTCTCTTAGATATAAAAGTACCTGGAAGAAGATTTTGGCAATCAATTAACAATTACTATGTTCAGGTTCAGGTTTAACTAACTCATCAGGCAGTTAATATACATTAGCACACACACTTCTCACAACATATGCCCTGTTATGTAAGGGTATTTTCTTGTTTTTTAAATAGACTTAGAGGAGAAGCCTTCTCTTTCCCAGATGTTCAAAGTGCTTCATAGACATTTATTCTCTCTGATAGACCAGGAGGAAGAGACAAAGGCCCTGTTGACCCTTATTCTGTCCTTGGATGCTCCATCAGAGGCTCCCCATTGCTGTGAGAAGGAGTGGGGAGAACTGAATCAGCTCCCTGCTGCACCCACTGCCAAGCTGACTGAACTCTGGGGCTCTCAAAACCCATGTAAGTGAGTTGCTGAGCCCAAACCCTCTCACTGGTGGATGCACCTGCCATCTGCAGGCATCAGTCAGTGGGCAAGCAGCTCACTTCTCCTCCCAAGAAGGGCCAGGAGAAGAGACGAGATAACCAAGCATAGCTGTGTTATAAATCTGACCTCTGCAGGTCCTGGGGGAAAGTCTGACCAATCAGGCAGGAGAAATATTGAACTACTAATAACTTGAATGGTCTTTATAGTTATGGAGATAAAATAAAATGTGCAGTGCTTCAGTGTAATAGCTTCTGCTTTTGTTAATGTGGTTACCCTCTGGTTTGTTTTTATATTATAAAATAAAGAGAGATGTGTAGGTCATCTCACATCTCCTTTGTGAACTTTAATGAGATAATCAAGTGTGGTGGTGTGCACGTAATTGACTCCTTTATTTCCACACTCCCCAACCAGGTTTCTTAACTCTTTTTGGGTGTTCTAATCATTCGATGAGCTTTTTTAAAAATCCAAAGCCAGGATCCCATCCCACACCAATCACATCAGAATCCTTGGGGATGGGGGGACTGAGAAGATTTTTAAAGCTCCTTAGGTGATTCAAACGTGTAAAAGGTTGAGAACGTCTGCCCCAAACACATCTTTTCATGTCCCAGAGCAGAAAACACTTCCACAAGGAAATAGACAGGCCCAGGCCCCAACATTCATGGTTCTCTGACATATGAAGAAACAGACAGTGGGTACCAGCTGTGAGCATTTTTTCTTGAAGGCTTGAAAGTTGGTCTCCTGCCTCTAGTAAAGCTCTTGCCACAGGTTACTTGGTGATCTTACTTGCCATACCCCATCTGGGAGATGTCTCCCAATCACTGGAGACACCCAAAGTTCCCCCAGGAAGTGGGAACGGCCTTGGTGGCTACCTTGAAGCTGGTGGTGATGGAGGCGTATTTGTTGTCGGCCGTATCTGAATTCCCGATCAGGTAGTCCCAGCTGGTGAACATCTTGAAGCTGAACGTGAAGTGATCACTCTCCCCCTCGCTGGTGCTGCCCTGGGTGTTGCTGGCCATCCTGTAGGGTGCACAGCACTGTTATTATATCTGCTCCGTTTTTGCTGCATCAGCCCAAGGGAACCTTGGCCTGAGCCAATCTTGGGCACAGGTAGCAGACATCCAGTGAAGGGAATGAACCAGGCAGGGGCGTGGGCCAAGACAGATTTGATTTAGGGCACTTTCCCCTCAAATTCAGAGTCTCCTGTGAGGACACCCGGTGTCAGTTGTGTAATAAGAAGCCTACTGGATACAGGACACTTAACCATGTTTTCTATGCCGATGTCTGATTTCCTGTGGCTCGATTTGCCTTCAAATGTTTTAGAACTCTGTTCTCACAAGAAACATCCTCTTTTAATTGATCTATTTTCTTCAATAGAAAATGTATTTTTCCAAATTAGCCTTGAGACAGTTGGTACTGCACCCAGGTGACATGCACCACCTTTTCTTAAGCTTGGTTGAAAGCGCCTTGGACCTGCCTTGCTACCCATGCACGTCACCCTACCTACCCTCAACCTCTCCTTGTGGAGTCTCTCTCTGGAGGTTAGTTCTGTGGGAATCGCAAATTCCGAGCAGGGTCTCTATCAGATGCAGAGAGAGAGAGAGGGAGAGAGAGAGAGAGAGAGAGAGAGAGGGAGAGAGAGAGAGAGAGAGAGAGTGTGTGTGTGTGTGTGTGTGTGTTGTGTGTGTTGTGTGTGTGTTGGGGGGGTGGGGTGTTGCATTCCTCTCTAACTCTATCTTATGTGTTGGCTTTTGGGATTTGCTGTTCCAGGGGCTTGGCTGGCTTAGTTAGCTCTTTGGTTCATCATGGAAACATTCCATATCCTTATACTTATCTGGGATAATTGCAAGGAAAAACATAACATGAGGCTAAGAATAAAACCAAGCCCGTCTCCTTGTTTTCTTCCCTGTTGCTTGATAGAGCTGGGCAGCCACACATCACCTCATGGTCACTGTTGTGTGCCTGGCAGGTTCTCATCAACAGCAGCATTTTCCCTTTCAGGGGTTCTGACCAGGCTTCGAGAGTTCTCTTCTCCTCTCCTGCAGACACAGCTACCCCTGCTCTTCTGGGAGAAGTAACCCTTTGTGGCCCTGCTGAAGGGTGGTGAGCCCTGGTGGTCAGGTGTGTGCAAGAGACTGTGCCACCCCACCCTGCACCAGCCTTTGCTGATTGGGGTCCCCTGATTTAGAAGAAGGCAATTTGTGGGATGGGTCAAATTTTTCTTTAGAGAGTATGAATTAAGAATCACAGACATAATTAGACACAATTAAGAACCAAGCCCATTTCTGACCACTGAGACAGGTAGAGTAGGGGCCAGTGAGGACACCATGGTTAATCAGAGCCACATACATTCATTTAGGCTTATTGTTTATATCATCATAAGTACCAGGCAGGGTTTTGACGTGCAAGCTAGAGGTATAGAGGAACAGAAGAGTTTTTCTGAGAAAGCTGAGCTCTGGGGAGAGCAAAACAGGTCTTGCAAATTTTTCTAGTCTTACCTTAGCAGGTACCATGCAACCCACACTGGCCTTTGACAGTTTTTGGAACCTATTAGGATATTTCCTACCTCAGGGCCTTTGCACATGCTCTTCTTTTGCCTAAAATGTTGTTCCCCAGACTTTCAGCATGGCTGGCAGTTCTCAGCCTCACCTAAAGGAGTTTCTATCCCATTTCACAGAACTGCCCACATTACCCTGTTTGTCTTTTATACCACATATGACAATCTGCATCTGCTTTGTTAATTTGTTCTTTTTTTCTCTCTAAATCCCCCACAAGAAGGTAAGTGGGCACAGAGTGGCCATGGGAGCGGGATCGTTGTATGAAGGAAATTAAAAGCCTGTAAATAAGATGGTCATACTTACGATCTAATGACAATCATCAGGCTATAGCCAAACACGCTGACCCCCACCATGAAGTAAGCCATGGGCAGTCTGTACCTCAGCCACCCGATGGTCCTCTGGTCATTGTAGTAGCCGTAGAAGAGAGCAGAATATTTAATGTAGCCCTGTGGGACAGCAAATCCAAATGCTCTGGGTTTGTAAATGGGGCGCAGTCATCAGACACTTCCATTCTACAGGCACCTCTTTCTCAGGGGCTAGCGGGCATCTGAGGGGAGGAAGGAAGGGTTCTGGACACTCTTGCCCTTCCTGCCACTTCCCTCGTTGCTCCCAAGTCTCTCCATGTCTCCCCCTTTCCTTTCTGCAGTCTCTCTATTTCTCCAGTATACGGAGTGCCAAAGATAAGGACCGAGAGTGTTGTTAACATTTGGGGTGAACCTAGGGGTAAGGAGGTGTGCATGTGCGCATGTACAGCAGCTCCAGATTCTTACCCTGAGCATAGGACCCTGATCAAAGGCAGGGAGGCTCTGAAAGTATGTGATGCATCCGGGACTCCCCCCAAACTTGATAACATTGGGGCATGAAGTGTGAGGTCTTAGATAGAAAAGGGACTGAAGAAGTGGGGAACAGCCAGGCCATGAAGAGTTCTTCTGTAAGCCCAATTCAGACCCTGGATTTCATTCCGTTTGGGAATGGGCATAAGTGAGGATCGGAGGTAAGGGGTGACAGGGCCAGGTCTGCATTGTAAAAGGGTCACTCCGGCAGCAGAGGGCATGGGGATTGTAGGAGCCCAGCCACGGCAGGGAGCAGAGGTTGAAGATTCTGACAGTGGGCCTGGTGTAGTGGAGTGTCATTCAAGGGAGAGGTAAGAGGGGTGGAGAAAAGGGGACCAGTTCAAGAAATATTTAGTGGATAGGAAATATTTAGAGTATTTCTAGTTCTTCATGTGTATACAATTCTAATATTAATACCCTTACATATATGCCTGTATTTGCATCACTAATTATAAACAATTAGAATTATATTAAATTTACATATTGATTTAGGAGGGATTGACTTTTTTATATTAAGTTTTTACTTCCAGGAATGTGTCCTGGAATAGTGACTGACTGGATGTTGGGGGTGGGGGGTGGGTAAGAGGTAGAAGTGTAGGTTGACTTCTGGGCTTCAGACTTCAGTGATTGGATGAACCATGGTTCCAACAAAGGAGATGGGGAAAAGATGCAGGTTTGGTTAAATAGATGTTGGAATTTATGGGGCAGTAGGACATTCACTTGAAGATGCCATGTGACACTTGGGGGAAGGCTGCAATAGCAATAGATTTGGGGTCTTCTTGTGGGTACAGGGAGAGAAACCGTGTTGTAGAGCCGCTTACATTGACCTAGCAGAATGAGGGGAGCAGCATTCTCATGGGGACTGACACCCATCAGAACGTGTGCCTGGAGAGAGGAACCTACGAAGGGGACCTAGGAGGACAGAGATGGTTGGCTCATTTTGCATAGTGCTGGAACTGTATTTGATTAAAGCATTGTTTTTTTTAATAACTAAATGCAACACGTTGCACATGTCCATGCAATTTTTAGACCTCACAATCACAAAGTAAAAGTGCATTGGCATGTTGGCAATGGTACCTCAAAATCCCAAAGGACGGAAAAATCCATGGCTTTTTCTTCCTCAGCCCGAGGCACTGTCTTTCTGGGTATACTTCCATAGGGCATGCCCATCAGTACCTGCGTGGGGACAGATGACACAGTTATATATGGAGAAAATACAAACACATGGAGATTTTCCTACTCAGAACAGGGCACACACATTTTCTTCTTTAAATGACATCAGTCATGTTCTGGATTTTATTTTTTTTATTATTATTTTTTCTAATCCTCACTTGAGGATATTTTTCCCATTGCTTTTTCAGAGAGAGTGGGAGAGAGAGAGAGAGAGAAACATTGATATGAGAGAGACACATCGATTAGATGCCTCCCCCACCCTCCCCAACTGGGGCCGAGGTACGTACCNGTGTGTGTGTGTGTGTGTGTGTGTTGTGTGTGTTGTGTGTGTGTTGGGGGGGTGGGGTGTTGCATTCCTCTCTAACTCTATCTTATGTGTTGGCTTTTGGGATTTGCTGTTCCAGGGGCTTGGCTGGCTTAGTTAGCTCTTTGGTTCATCATGGAAACATTCCATATCCTTATACTTATCTGGGATAATTGCAAGGAAAAACATAACATGAGGCTAAGAATAAAACCAAGCCCGTCTCCTTGTTTTCTTCCCTGTTGCTTGATAGAGCTGGGCAGCCACACATCACCTCATGGTCACTGTTGTGTGCCTGGCAGGTTCTCATCAACAGCAGCATTTTCCCTTTCAGGGGTTCTGACCAGGCTTCGAGAGTTCTCTTCTCCTCTCCTGCAGACACAGCTACCCCTGCTCTTCTGGGAGAAGTAACCCTTTGTGGCCCTGCTGAAGGGTGGTGAGCCCTGGTGGTCAGGTGTGTGCAAGAGACTGTGCCACCCCACCCTGCACCAGCCTTTGCTGATTGGGGTCCCCTGATTTAGAAGAAGGCAATTTGTGGGATGGGTCAAATTTTTCTTTAGAGAGTATGAATTAAGAATCACAGACATAATTAGACACAATTAAGAACCAAGCCCATTTCTGACCACTGAGACAGGTAGAGTAGGGGCCAGTGAGGACACCATGGTTAATCAGAGCCACATACATTCATTTAGGCTTATTGTTTATATCATCATAAGTACCAGGCAGGGTTTTGACGTGCAAGCTAGAGGTATAGAGGAACAGAAGAGTTTTTCTGAGAAAGCTGAGCTCTGGGGAGAGCAAAACAGGTCTTGCAAATTTTTCTAGTCTTACCTTAGCAGGTACCATGCAACCCACACTGGCCTTTGACAGTTTTTGGAACCTATTAGGATATTTCCTACCTCAGGGCCTTTGCACATGCTCTTCTTTTGCCTAAAATGTTGTTCCCCAGACTTTCAGCATGGCTGGCAGTTCTCAGCCTCACCTAAAGGAGTTTCTATCCCATTTCACAGAACTGCCCACATTACCCTGTTTGTCTTTTATACCACATATGACAATCTGCATCTGCTTTGTTAATTTGTTCTTTTTTTCTCTCTAAATCCCCCACAAGAAGGTAAGTGGGCACAGAGTGGCCATGGGAGCGGGATCGTTGTATGAAGGAAATTAAAAGCCTGTAAATAAGATGGTCATACTTACGATCTAATGACAATCATCAGGCTATAGCCAAACACGCTGACCCCCACCATGAAGTAAGCCATGGGCAGTCTGTACCTCAGCCACCCGATGGTCCTCTGGTCATTGTAGTAGCCGTAGAAGAGAGCAGAATATTTAATGTAGCCCTGTGGGACAGCAAATCCAAATGCTCTGGGTTTGTAAATGGGGCGCAGTCATCAGACACTTCCATTCTACAGGCACCTCTTTCTCAGGGGCTAGCGGGCATCTGAGGGGAGGAAGGAAGGGTTCTGGACACTCTTGCCCTTCCTGCCACTTCCCTCGTTGCTCCCAAGTCTCTCCATGTCTCCCCCTTTCCTTTCTGCAGTCTCTCTATTTCTCCAGTATACGGAGTGCCAAAGATAAGGACCGAGAGTGTTGTTAACATTTGGGGTGAACCTAGGGGTAAGGAGGTGTGCATGTGCGCATGTACAGCAGCTCCAGATTCTTACCCTGAGCATAGGACCCTGATCAAAGGCAGGGAGGCTCTGAAAGTATGTGATGCATCCGGGACTCCCCCCAAACTTGATAACATTGGGGCATGAAGTGTGAGGTCTTAGATAGAAAAGGGACTGAAGAAGTGGGGAACAGCCAGGCCATGAAGAGTTCTTCTGTAAGCCCAATTCAGACCCTGGATTTCATTCCGTTTGGGAATGGGCATAAGTGAGGATCGGAGGTAAGGGGTGACAGGGCCAGGTCTGCATTGTAAAAGGGTCACTCCGGCAGCAGAGGGCATGGGGATTGTAGGAGCCCAGCCACGGCAGGGAGCAGAGGTTGAAGATTCTGACAGTGGGCCTGGTGTAGTGGAGTGTCATTCAAGGGAGAGGTAAGAGGGGTGGAGAAAAGGGGACCAGTTCAAGAAATATTTAGTGGATAGGAAATATTTAGAGTATTTCTAGTTCTTCATGTGTATACAATTCTAATATTAATACCCTTACATATATGCCTGTATTTGCATCACTAATTATAAACAATTAGAATTATATTAAATTTACATATTGATTTAGGAGGGATTGACTTTTTTATATTAAGTTTTTACTTCCAGGAATGTGTCCTGGAATAGTGACTGACTGGATGTTGGGGGTGGGGGGTGGGTAAGAGGTAGAAGTGTAGGTTGACTTCTGGGCTTCAGACTTCAGTGATTGGATGAACCATGGTTCCAACAAAGGAGATGGGGAAAAGATGCAGGTTTGGTTAAATAGATGTTGGAATTTATGGGGCAGTAGGACATTCACTTGAAGATGCCATGTGACACTTGGGGGAAGGCTGCAATAGCAATAGATTTGGGGTCTTCTTGTGGGTACAGGGAGAGAAACCGTGTTGTAGAGCCGCTTACATTGACCTAGCAGAATGAGGGGAGCAGCATTCTCATGGGGACTGACACCCATCAGAACGTGTGCCTGGAGAGAGGAACCTACGAAGGGGACCTAGGAGGACAGAGATGGTTGGCTCATTTTGCATAGTGCTGGAACTGTATTTGATTAAAGCATTGTTTTTTTTAATAACTAAATGCAACACGTTGCACATGTCCATGCAATTTTTAGACCTCACAATCACAAAGTAAAAGTGCATTGGCATGTTGGCAATGGTACCTCAAAATCCCAAAGGACGGAAAAATCCATGGCTTTTTCTTCCTCAGCCCGAGGCACTGTCTTTCTGGGTATACTTCCATAGGGCATGCCCATCAGTACCTGCGTGGGGACAGATGACACAGTTATATATGGAGAAAATACAAACACATGGAGATTTTCCTACTCAGAACAGGGCACACACATTTTCTTCTTTAAATGACATCAGTCATGTTCTGGATTTTATTTTTTTTATTATTATTTTTTCTAATCCTCACTTGAGGATATTTTTCCCATTGCTTTTTCAGAGAGAGTGGGAGAGAGAGAGAGAGAGAAACATTGATATGAGAGAGACACATCGATTAGATGCCTCCCCCACCCTCCCCAACTGGGGCCGAGGTACGTACCCTTGGCTGGAATCGAACCCAGGGCCCTTCAGTCTGAGGGTTGATGCTCTAACCACTGAGCAAAACCAGCCAGGGCAATCATGTTCCTGATTTTACAAGTAACACACACTTATTGCAGAAAATGTGAAAAAGTAAAGAAGAGCATTTTAAGAAGTATTTACTGCCTCCCCATCTTAAAGATAATGACTGTTATATAGTCACATATTTCCTTTCAGTTACTTCTGAGTTTCATATATATTTCAGTCTGATTATTTAGCTTAATATTATTTTATGACCAGTTTCCTATGTCATATGATATTCTCAAAATAAGATGACTTCAGAATATCTAATCATATGTATGTAGTATAAACTCACCTAACAAATTTTGGAATTTAGAGTATTTCTAGTTCTTCATGTGTATACAATTCTAATATTAATACCCTTACATATATGCCTGTATTTGCATCACTAATTATAAACAATTAGAATTATATTAAATTTACATACTGATTTAGGAGGGATTGACTTTATGATATTAAGTTTTTACTTCCAAGAATGTGTCCTCTTGTTTATTTAGTTGTGTTTTTGTCCTGTAATGCTTTATAGTGTTTCTCAGAGAAATATTCTAACTTGTTAAATTTGTTAATAGTTATTTCATAGCCTGGCCAGCGTGGCTCAGCGGTTGAGCATCGACCTAGGATCTAGGAGATCGTGGTTCAATTCCAGGTCGGGCACATGCGCGGGTTGCGGGCTCGGTCCCCAGTTGGGGGTGTGCAGGAGGCAGCCAATCAATGACTCTCTCATCACTGATGTTTCTATCTCACCCTCTGTAACTCTGCACAAGTCACTTATTCCTTTTTTGTCTCTCAATTGCTCCCTGATAGGCAAGGATCTACCTATATTCACAATAGGATTATATTTGAAAGAATAGTGAGGAATGCTATTCAAATCCAATGTTTTTTGGTTATAAATTATGATATAATACATTCTATCCCTCTCTCTCTTTTTTTTTTTTTTCAGGGTAAAAGAGAAAAAAAACCCTGAGATATTAATTCTCCACTGATCTTAAAGTAAAATGAGAAGTAGAAAATGTAGGGCCCACCTCTTAATTCAGAAACATATATATATATTTTTTTTTTACTGAGCTATCTGGGCAATTGATGTGAGCATAGAATCTTAAATGAATGATTGATTCTGTGTAAAACAGAGAGTATTTAATATAAATGAAGAGGGTGGTCATGATAAGTCTCAACTATCCAAAGATGTACGAAGTTCTTTTTTTACCTCTGGGATTATAACTAGACCAAATATCAAGCCAAAAAGGACAAGGTTAACGCCATACATCCATCGGAGGAAGATGAAATACGATGCCACTGAAGAGCCAAAGTGACCTGGAGAGAGAAAAGACGGAGGGACTTAAGTGTTGCAGCAGGAGGAAGTTATTGCTACTGAGCACTTTCTGTGTGTGATGGATCCGATTTTCACATCAGTCTGTGGAATGGAATCCTGATCTCCACAGTCTTTTTCCAAAAAATAACCTGAGGCTCTATGGGCTTAAGAGATCCGCCTAACCTCCCATAATCAGAAAGTGAAGAAACACAATTTAAATATTTGTCTTGCTAGTCCAAAGCCCATCCTTTTCCGGATACAACACGGCCTGCAAAACAATCTCATCACATGGTCAAGAACACAATCCCACCCTTGAAAAACCCTTCAGTAAATCAGCTGAAAGCAATGGCACCAAAATACTCACTTTCAATGTCCTTGATCTTCATTTCCCAGGGAATACATTGAGTCTTGAAATTATCAAAGTCTCTCTTAAACTTGACCCATTTCTGAAATTAGACAGGTAATACCTTCAGTTCATCAACATGCTGCCTTGGGGCCTGGCCGGGCATGTTGGAGACACGTGTTGATGTTGACATGTCAATATGAGGTCAACATGTGGGTGAGGCTGCCAGAGATGTTAAATCTTCACTTTAAGTCAGGTATGGAGTGAGAGAGAAGCCCGGGTAACACGACGCCTTGCATTTGTCTACAGGGCTGATAAAATTTCAGGTTTGGACAGTTTTTATATGAATTGAGAAGTTTTGTGTATAATTTCTGGTATGGGGGATCAAATGGGTTAGCAACCTCTGATACAGCTTCCTTTACCTTAAAACAAAAATTCAGGGCAGGGGGAGAAATCTCACAGCACATTTGGCAGACAGCCAAGTGCCTAAATCTGATAGGAACTGTTGCTAAACAGATGCTGGTGGGACTGCTAGAGGCCTCAGCCCAGCGTTTCCTATTCTTCTCCTGGTGAAACAACAGCCTGTTGTTGTTGTGTGTGTGTGTGTGTTTTCTGAAAAAAAGTGAGGAAGGCATCATGCCCCTGTCTTTTCCCAGTTCCAGCACTCAGAGTTTGTACCAATCAGAAACCTGAGTGGCTGTCTGTCTGCGGGCTGGGTGAAAATTTGTCAACTCTTCACAGGGCTGCTTTCCCACAACCCCATCCCCTGGAAATAAGTCCATTCGGAATTTTAAAAATTCATAGAAAACAGCAAAGAGGTAGTAGGGCAAAGAGCCTACGATCAATTTCTATCATTACAAAGGTCTCCTAAGAACTTGTTCATGAAGGAAATGAGATTTTCCCTTGTAAATTCACTGAGGATGAAAGAGAAAACTTGTCTGAAGGAATCAGACAGGCTTCCAGACCTGAAGGCTTTGACCATATCCTAATTGAGTGATTACTCAATAGGAAGGAAACTGCCCATCAGAAGAGAGAAAGGAGAAGAGGGGCCCATAGGCAAAAGACTGGTCGACAATGCAAAGATAGCCCTGAGACTGGAAGGGAGGGCTGTGGGGAATGGCAGGCAGTGGATATTGGGCACTTCAGTCCCACTGTCATCTACTTTCCTTAGTTTTGATCCTGTGCTCAAAAATCATCGTTGGCTTATTTGGCCTCCCATGTAGGTCTGTGTATAAGGAGAGCATTTGGCCATCACCTGGGCTTTGAGTATTTTGGCTTCTATGGCAGTAATTTTTCATTGCAAATTAATAGATTGGAATTGGGATTATGGTTTAGCTTTCCATATAACTAACTCTACTAAAAAAAAAAAAAAAAAGCATTGCTGATGTGGACTTCAAGTTTTCCAGTTCTTGTATTAGTTATTTCTCCTTGTAAATTAATAGCCTAGCATCTGGTTTTATATATCAGTCTCAAAAGCTTTATTAATGTGAGTCTTCCTCTGAGATGGATCTCCTGTCAGGGTGCTGATAAAATCAGTACAAAATATAGGCTTGCAAGGCTGAGGCCAATAGGGGTAATGAAAGATGCCAAGCGAGGCCCCTGGAGACACAGCTCGCCAGTTGGTTGCTTGGCAACCATCAGACAGCCCCTCAATGCTGTAGGCTTCTTGGCCTGAAAAGTGATGCCCTGGAGGTGGAGCAGAGGCAGAGGGAGGCCTGGAGAAGCTCTGCATCGAAGCTCTCTATCCTTCATTGGCTTAGAGAATCAAAAACTGGGATGGGGCATGGGCAGGAGAAGAACCCCCCCACCCTTCCTCAGAGCTTGGTGAGATGGTAGCTGCTGCCCCAGGACTGGGGTATTAGCTGTGCCTGTCATCTTCTCTCCAGCTATAAAGGACAAAAGATTTCAGTGACTGAACAAGACACAGGCAAGCTATACATCCTGTCTGTGGATGAAATCTGAATGACTAAAAGCAGCCAATGAGCCCTGGCTGGTGCAGCTCGGTTGGTTGAGCGTCATCCTGTGCACCAAAAGATCACCAGTTTGATTCCAGGTCAGGGCACATACCCAGGTTTCGGGTTGGGTCCCCGGTCAGGGGTCGAGGTGTGTACAGAAGGCAACCAATTGATGTTTCTCTCTCACATCAATGTTTCTCTCTCCCCCTTCTTCCTCTCTCTTCCTCTCTCTAAAATCAATAAAAACATATACATATATATTTTAAAGAAAACAACCAATGAGGCTTGAGAAATAGTACTGTGGAGCAAGGAAAACGGGACACCACTCTCCAGAATGTTTGGAAAGCATTTATACATTAATACATTTTGAGAAATGGTTCAGCATTCTTAATAGGATACAAGAAATATGGCTTCTAGAGTAAAGGATAGAAATTTGAGATAAAAAAAGAATATAGGTGGCCCTAGAGTGGCCCAGTTAGTTAGAATGTTGCCCCATGCACCAGAAAACCAGGTTCGATTCCTGGTCAGGGCATACACTAGGTTGTGGGTTTGATCCCTGGTGGAGGCAACCGGCTGATGTTTCTCTCTCACATTGATGTTTCTCCCTCTCCTTCCCTCCCTCTCTAAAATCAATAATAATAATTAAAAAGGATACAGGGGAAGTGTGGAAGGCTTACAAGGTAGCTAAAAGTTCAGTAATAGAATGAAAATAAACATTATATTATAATTGAAACAAAACAATTGATTAAATGATCTTGAGAATAAACCTGAGAAATTTCAGAGAATGCAAAGAGAGAGCAAAGAATTAATAACAGTGAGGGAAGGTAAATACAGAGGACAGAGGATGGGCAGGAATCCTTTTCTAAGGAAGAAGCTAGATCTATTGGAATAGAAACATAATTGAACAAAATCATTTATCAAAGATATAGTCGAAGACCGCACTCCTCACTTGGAAAGAAAAGATCTGAGTGGGCAGTTGTTAAGTGGTAAATAGTTTCTAGATAAAATTAATAAAATGACTCACAGATAGTTGTCAGGCAATTAAAACTGAAAAAGGAGGAAAATAATATTAGGAACAAAAAAATTCAAACCCAATATATATAGAAAGTAATTACAAAAGTTATGGGACAACCATCTGCAACTTTCTGGTAACACATATGAAGACCTTATAAAATGATCACGTGTTGGAAGAATATAAAATGTCAACATGGCCCCAAGAAAAAGTTAAAACTTGAATACGCCAATAACCAGGGAACACGTGAAAACGGATGAATCATCAAACAATGTTTAAGGTTTGGGAAGTAAGATCCCAGTGGTTTTAACAGTGTCAATTTAATGAGTCTAGGTCTTCACTGGAGAAGAAACAAGTTTCCTATAGACTGCAACCCTCACAGGTAAGTATAGAGAAAATGATGGAATAAGCTGCTTTCCACTCCTGGGTGACTGGAATCAACTGGCTTCACGCTCAGGATACCGGGGGAGCTGGACACAGATGGGGAGGCTGGAGGCGCCTGTGATAGTCGCCCCAGTTCAGAAGTTTGCAGCCTCTGCGCCACACACCTTAGCCAGCAGCATCTTATAGGCGTAGAGCCGCTTGCCTTTCCCCTTTCCCAAGGCTCCTTCATACTTCTCCACAAATTCTTGGGCCTCCCTGGTTAGAAAAAAAAAGGGGGGCAGGGACAGGAATTCAATTAACACCCAAGCAAAAGAAATCTGAATTATGAGGGTGCCGACGTGGCTGACAGCTGTGTTTTTATACGGCTTGTTGAGTATCATATAGGTTCCATGAAGGAAGGGTATTTTGTCTGTTTTGTCCCCGAAATTTCCCAAATGCAAACACAGTGCTTGCTGCAGGGCAGGCACCTGTAGGCAGAATTTTGGCCTCTGTGACCTTTGCTCCCTGGTGGTACACACAAGGATGTGGCAAAAAGGATTTTGCAGGTGTATTACTGACTTTAAAATAGGGACATGATTCTGGATTATCTGGAAGGGTCCAATGTAATCACGTGAGCCCTTAAAAACAGAGGAGGAAGGTAGAAGAGCCAGAGAGAGATGCGGCAGGAGGGAACGTCAAGGAAATTAGAAGCGGAGGAATTTCTGAGCCTCTGTGGCTGGGGCCCCATGTGAAGAGCAAGAGAAGGAAATGAATTCTGCCCCAAACCAGTGAGCTTGGAAGGGGACCCAGAGCCTGCGATGGGAACCGCGGCCCTGCTGATGCCCTGGTTTCAGCCCAGGGAGGCCCTGAACAGAGCCTCACGCATCGGCTGCACTTCTGCCTGACGGAGCTGAGTGCTGGCCTGAGTCTTAGGGTGTAGGGAGCGGCCAGGTGGGGTGGGAGAAAGCAGGAACCTTCTAGGGAGAGGCACCTGCTGGAGGGGAGCCCCAGAGGCTGGAGAGCTTTACAACTGAGTCTGGGATAAGGAGTCTTGCGGAAGGGAAGAAAAAGAGGGGAGATCTGGAGGGAGGAGACCACTGTTAGAGGGGGAAACCTGCCTCAGTGAGCCAGCGAGAGAGACAATTCCAGCATTTCAGGCCTTAGCCAATCCCCACCCTCACCAAGGGCAGAACTCTTCCTCCTGCCTGGAGGGGATGTCAGACTTCTCTGGGCAGCTGAACAGCCCTGGGGGATTTTCATGGTCCCTGAGACTTCCAGCCAGCTGGGGATCTCATTTCCATAAGCATCAAGGTTGCTCTTTTTCCACTGTTAATAAAAGATGTGTTCAGGTGACACCTGAGTGGGGACGAGGCTCTACTGGAGTGACAGATGGCTGTTCTGCCCTGGATAACAGGAGGGAGAACAGGCCCTGAGGGAGCAGGGAGAAGAGACCCAGACAAACAAGAAGCCACTGCCTGGAGCGGTACCTACAGCGCAAACCGTCACCATTTCATCCAATATATTTTTAAAAATTACAATTTCCATATGTAATCAATATCAAAATTAATCAGATATTTTAAACTCTTTTTGTACTGTCTTCAAAATCCGGTGCTCATCTTGCACCACCCATGATGATTTAAATTTAAATCAACCAGTATAAAACAAAAAAAAATTCAGTTTCTCAGTCGCACTAACTGCTTTTCAAGTGCTCAAGAGCCACATGTGGCTACTTTGTTAGTGCAGACTCAGCGCATTTCTATCACCCCAGAAGGTTCTGTGGTGAGCACTGGCTTGAAGGCACCGGGGAGGCATTTCTTCCTGCAGCTACATAGGAGATGACGTAATGATTTGTGTAGTGACAGTGGAGTAAGTTCTGCCAGGACCCTTGTTAGAGTTGGGGGTAAATAGAGTTAAAATAAAACTGCCATTGTTTTCTACATAATCCAGGGGGAGGCAGTTGACTTGAGCCATGAAGAAACTCAGGTGTGAGAGGAGCGGGGGAAAATGGCTTTTTAGAGAGGAAAGGGGAAAGGAGGTGTGACCCCCAACCCTGTGACAGAAACACAAAGGAAAGACTTGGGGGAAATGGTAATTATGGATGGGAATATTTTAGTAGAGAAGTTAAGCAATGTGACTCCTGCTCTTTGCTCAAAATGCAGTAGACACTCAAGAATCATAAAATGCTTGGTGTGCCAGCTGTCATATGGAAACCAGAGAAGTGGCTCAGTTGAAAACAGGACTCATGGGCACAGGTACAAGGCTAGAGCGTGTTCACGGAGCACCGCTGCAGACTTGGCCCTGTGTTAGGCATTTGGGATGGTGAGTAGCTGAGACAGGTCCCCTCCCTGTTCCCCATGAGTGTGAGTGTGCAACACACGGGGAGATTCTGGGTACTTAAAACAAGAAAGGTCTGAATCTGTTGAGATGGAGGGTCATAGGAAGCCCCCAGAAGAAGGCATGTCTTTGTTGGGTTGAGAGGGAAGTGCAGAAGCCACCAGGTGAGTTGGGAGTGAGACGGAGAGGCAGCCAGGCAGTGGAAGGGTTGGGGGAGACTGGAGCACCATGGTGCCATCTCCCAGCCTGGCCCTGCTCCATGCTGGCCAAACAGCAGGGCCTCAGTCAACAGTCACTGCTCACGCTTGCCATGCCTGTAACGCCCCCCCGCCCCCCAGCACTGTGCATGTGCTGGGGACAGGAGGGGACCAAGGGAGAGTGGGAGGGTGAAGCCCCCTTCTTGCCAAGGCCCCTTGGGGCGGAGAGGAGGAAGGGACTTGCATGTCCATCAGAAGGAGTGGAGCCTTTTGGACATTGAAAGAGCCTGGTGACCACCACCCGCTCACCTGAGCTCTATAAACCTTTTGGACACTGAGAGAGCCTGGTGACCACCACCTGCTCACCTGAGCTCTGTAAGCTTCTTCGCCATGGGCCAGGGCTTGCTGCGCATGGTGGTGATTAGCTTCTTCTTGTCTTCCACCTGCTCCAGGATCCGGGCCAGCTCCTCCTCAGACAGAGACTCCCCACCAGAGGCACTGGAGGCCAAGGAAGGTGATCTGGAGGAGAGCCAGGGTGGAGCAGAGCAGAGTGAGAAGGGGCAGAGTGTGCGATCAGAGGAGACCATAGCCAGACACATGGGCCAAGCACCTGACACCCAAAACTCTGACCACCCCTCGCAGGCTGCCCCCACTCAGGAGCCCTCAGTGACTCTCACCTCCTGTCAGAAGAGACCACAGCTCTGTCCTGTAGCTCAAGGCACTGGGTGAAATGCCTCCTCAAATTCTATTTCTCTGAGTCCTACCCACGTACCACACTCTAGCACCATGCTACCCAATAGAAACATAATGCAAGCCACATACTGTAATTTTCAATTTTTTTAGTAGCCACATTAAAATGGTAAAAGGAAATGGGTAAAATTAATTTTAATAGTGCCTTTTATTTAATCCAGTATATGAAGAAATTATAATTTCAACATGTAATCAATATAAAAATTATTAATGAGATATTTTCTATTCTTTTTGTACTGTCTTCAAAATCTGGCATTCATCTTGTACTCACAGTGCCTGTCAATTCAGGCATTAAATTTTCATTAAACGTATTTGATCTATATTTGAATTTCATAAAATTTATAATTGAAAAAGTAGATTCATGTACCCCAATTTTTTGAGACATACTTAAAAGTTTCCTGATAAATGAATCAAGTAGCAGAATATAATTTTCTTTGATATCTGCATTGACAAAATTAGTTTTATATATATATATGAAATGAAATGCTTTGGCTTCAAAGTAAAATTGATTTCAAAACTACAAACTACATCTGTCTGTCCAAGTTAAGTAATTTACTATCTCTTGTGTCAACTCTGTATTAACACCAAATTTAAATTAAATTGAATTGGAAATTCAGCTCCTTGGTCACACTGGCCACATTTCAAGTGCCCAGCACGTCGCTAGTGTCTGTTGTATTGGACAGCACAGCTGCAGAGAACTTCCGGCTGGAAGCCTTGTGGTGTGATGACCTGCAGCATCCCACAGACAGGACTATGTGCTCAGCTGCCACCAAGTTCAGATTCCCGTGTGCTCCTCACAGCCTCCTTTAGTCCTAAGAACAGTGCCTCTCAGCTGAGTTGACAGCTGCCAGGGATGTAGAGGTAAGGGAGGGGCTGGAGAAGGGTTCCACCTGAGCAGCCTTCTCAGCAGGTTCATTAATGGAAACTTCAGGATGTGGGCTTGAGTTACCGCAGGTTTTAGAGACCAGTTTGCAGCAGTCTCCATAAGTTTTAGCTTCTGATGAACTCCTGAGGATCATCAGAGAACTCAAAGGAGGGAGGTGGAGAGGAGGGGCCCTAGCCCTTGAAGACCTGAAAGCCTAAAGCACAGGGATTCTTTTGCACGCCTCATGTACACCCCATGATATCTGCCTTTGGGTCTTTGCATGGGGTCTTCCCTCAGTCCGGGGGGCATTCAGTCGTTGCTCGTTCCAATTCCACCTTTGCTTCAAAAGCCTTATTGGAATGCTTATCTTCTCTGTGGAGGAACCCTGGTGCCCCAGCCCCCCGTCAAATCTTTTCTCGTATGCATATTGCTTTCTGCCTTGTCTTATGGTGACTGATGCCCGTGTCCTATCTCCCCTACTAGCCTGTCAGCATCTGGGGAACAGCACCGAGTCTTTTACATCTCTCTCTGCCCTGCCATGGGCATGAATGAGCCCTTGCCTGTACCCTCTACTTTGCATCTACCATCCAGACACCTGTGGTCCATTTAGGATGGTGCAGCCTCCCTCTAAAGTTCGGGACACTCCACGGCCCATTGACGATGCATTCAAGTTCTCTTTAAGCTTCTAAGGGCACTATGCATTCTTTACCCTGTTAGCTTGTGTCCAGGGACAACCAGACAGTAGACAAAAGCTGTAACTGAACCAACAAGGGCTGACATGGTTGACAGAAGAAATCAGTGGCCCTGTTTGAGGCCTGAGTCCCATCTCTGTAAAGGTGGAGAGGTACCATGGACAACGACTGAGGGTGTGGGCAAAGGGAGTTTGTGGGAACCCAGTGGGAAGGAGCGTCAGCTCCACCATAATTCTAATACCTCCAATTGTTTCAAATGCCTCCCTACATGTTACCAACAGGGATTCTTCAAACATCCTGAGAAGTGAGCAAAGCACAAGATGGAGGCAAAGAGAGGGAACTGTCTCATCAAAATTGGGAGCAAACCATGGAACTAAAATCCTGGCTTGTTGATTCTGAAAGCTGGTCCTGCTCACCAGCCAGCGTGTGCTAGTGCTAACGAACAAAGGAAACAAAACAGATAAAGCACATCCCAAATCCTCGAACTTCAGAGCTGGCAGGACCCCTGAAGGTCTTTTAGATCAACGCTGCATTTCACAAAAGAGGGCACAGGTCCAGGTTGGGGAAATGGTGCACTTAAAGCCCTCCAATGAGTCAGTCCGAAATCTAGTTTTGTTCATTTATATCAGCTCTTCTGCAAGAGCTGTGGTGAGCCACACACTGGATTTCAGGAGGCTTGGAATCTTGTCCCAGCCTGCTGCCATCTCACCTTCCCACTCGAAACTTCCACTTGCTCTGGTGTGATATGAGGTGTTGGGTGGAGAGTGCCCAGTGACCACTCCACTCGGACGGCGTGGTCCCCCTCCAGTTTCTGCCTAAGAAGTGGAGAAGTGGGCAGGGGCAAAGAGAAGCAGACGAGAGCAGGGGCTGCCTATTTACAAGGCTGGGGAGGGAGGAACGCATCAGGCCCTCATCAGGAAAGGGAGAGAGACCAGTAGGAAAAGGAAAGCACAATTGAAAACACACCTGGGGACCTCTGTATTGCTTTCAATAATAAAGATAAATTTTAAAAACAAAAAACAAAAAACCACGCCTGAATCAGAGTCACAACACACCTGCGTTTCTTCAGCTGCTTCCACATCTCCTTCCTCGGCACCTCCTTTTTCTTCCTTGAGGGTGCTCTCTGCTCCTTGAGGGATGCCCTCCCATCTCTCTTCTTCCTCCCCTCGCGGGTCCTCTGGGCTGTGCCCCGCTCCTGTTCCCCCAGCTTCTCTCCACGTCGCCTGTGCTCCACCTGCTTCCTCCTGGGGGAGTCTGGCCTTGGGCTGCCCCTGGCTCGCTCCTTCTGGCCAGCAGGGCCTCCACGCCTGCCTGCCACACCCTCTGCTTTGGGGGCCTGCTTCCTGGAGGATCTCCTCCCAGACCTGTCACCTGCAGGGGCAGGAAAATGGCAGTACCCCAGCTGTGAGAAATCAAATGTTCAAGATGCTTCCTGGAGCTTTTGGCTCCAAAAGCCTCTTTGGAGCATCCGGCCTGGGATGAGAGTTAACGTCTCCCTCTGACCGGTTGGCACTCCTACACACTCTTGCCTATCCTCAGGTAGAGATCTAGGCACATGCCTTTCCTCTTCTTGGGTGTGCAGTCCCTTAGAGTCAGAGCTGAACCATCTCCTGACCCTCGGGGTCAAGGCCAAGTCTGGGAGCCTCCGTTTGGTAAGGCTGGACCACTGAGACAGGAAGGGCCTCCCTGGCTCCATTCTCCATCCAGGGCCTTTCCCGCTCATGAGCCCCTGCCTGGCATGAGAGAAAGGAGAGGAGGTGAGAGCAGCAGTCGGTTCAGGCCCTGTTCCTCAGCACTGCGGTGCAGGGCCTCAGGTTTAGCCAGGAGGCAGAGGGGGAGAGGGGAACTGTGGGCAAGAGCCTTTGTGTGGTTCCCAAGGGAAGGAACGGATAAGGCTGAGTAGGCAGGGTTAGGGTCAGCTGGTTTGAATAATTTCAAAAAGACCCAGAATAGCTTACATCATACTGAAGGAGGGGAATGAAGTTGGTCAACAGACACTATCCAACATCAAGATTAAATATAAAGCTCCAATAATCAAGACAGTGTGGTATTAGTGAAGGAACAGACAAATACACCAACAGAGCAGAACAGAGAGGCCAGAAAGAGACCCACATAAGTATAGCCAACTGAGCTTTGACAAAGGAGCAAAGGCAATTCAGTGGAGATGGTATGTTTCACCAAATGGTGCTGGAACAACTGGACATCACATCACATGCAAAATCATAATAATAGTCTAGACACAGACCTTATTCTTTTCACAAAAATCAACTCAAAATGTGTCATTGATCTAAATGTAAAATGCAACAGGCTGAGATTTTCTCATCCCAGTCCTCCCCTGACCTCTCTCTTCTCCTTCTCACCTCCTATGGGAAAAGGGACTTCGGTAAAATAATGTAAAGAAAGATTATTTGAATGTAATAATAACTCATCCAAGTTAGGAAGCTGGTCAGCATCAGCCAGTCAGAGATGGCTTGTCTTGTAGATGCTCTTCCATGGCTATGGGAGGCTCAGCCCCGTCTCGGAGGAGAGATGGAGACAGAAACAAATCCGCTCCCTCCAAAGACATGCGAAGAGTGTGAGATAGTGTGTGTCCCCACGGTGTGACCCCGAGGAGAGCCCTAGAACTGAGCTAGGTTCTCAGAGAGAGCAGGGAAGTGAGAGAGTGGGCAAGGGATTAAGAAGGGTCTCCTGGGCCCTCATCTAAGGTGGGTTTCATATTGCTTGAAAGAACTGAATTCTTAGTCAGTATATGTTTGCCCCGTCTTCTGAACTCTGTGTCCTCAATCAGCTAATACAATGGTTTTCTTTTGGGGAGGGGTTTACACATTTTTTCAAGCTACAATTTCTGTTGTAATTTCATTTCCCAACAGAATGAAATGCATGAGGAATGTAGAAATCAGGCCTGAATTTTTCCTTCAATCTTCCCCCAACCTCCTCAGCACAGAAAACAGCTGCTTTTTGACATTGATCCCCACCCCATGCCATAGCTTTCAATGGACTCTACATAAGGCATAATTCAGGAGCTAGAAGGGCAGCTGCCACATTAGGAAGACTCCCAAGCCCAGCACACACTCCCTTCCATGTAACAGGCCTCCCTACATTTACGCACCAGACTCAGAGCAGAAAATAGGCCCAGGAGAAGCTGGAGGGCCCAGCTCACCCTCTGGCTCAGTGATCTGAGAATACAGAGGTCTTTTTTCAACTAATGGAATAACAAATTATAATTATTTTGAGAAAAGACCTTTGTCTTCTCAGAGATTATTTTTCTCCTTGTAGAATATAAATGGAAGAAATAGGATATTGGGTCCCCTCAGAGATGACTCCAGAGGAGATTTTAATTGGAATCTTTGTGTAATTGGGTTTCGGTTTATTTAATGGATTCCCGTTACTTAACTTCATTGCATCCCTTGACCATTTGGGTCCCTAAAGCAAAAATTCTGACCCATGTCCTTGTTTTTTCAGAGAAAGGAAAAATGGCACAGGGTAGAGGAGTGTGTGCGTGTGTGCGTGTGTGTGTGTGGGCGGGCACATTTCAGTAGGAAAATGTTTGTGTTTCATGCAAAACAACTTTCCATTTCAGTCCTTCCCAAGGACCATTTGCCCACAGGTGACCTCCACAAGGCCAGCCCATTCAGTTGGGGTGGAAGGGGAGCCAGGATGCGTGTAGGAGGGACAGTGACTGGAGTAGAACATAGGGAAGGGGCCATGGAGAACCAGACTCAAACATCCTGCAGACAACCATCACCAATGGAGCTGACCCCCTTTCTCATCCGGCCACACTGAGACTGACTTTCTCATGCTCGCACTCATGTCTCTAGAGGGAGGTGAAGACTGGACGGGGAGGCAGGTGGGGTAGGGAGGAGAGACAGTGACCAAGGGGCAGCTGGAATGTTGAGATGCCAGCGGTGCCTTCACACCTCCTCCCTCCTGCCCAGAGCTCTGGCTCCTCTGCACATCCCCTTGTCATGGAGCTGCCTCACCAAGGCCCCAGGCCCTAGGCAGTGGGGCACCAATGAGGGTGAAATGGGAAGAACTTGGCAGGGGACACAGATGAGGTGGACCCTGGAGCCAGGGTGGGGGCCAGAACAAGTCCCTTCCCCTCAAAATGGGGTGGGGAGATCTCTTCCAACCCCCCAAAGTCCATCACTCCACAAGATTATGCTTCCTCGCCTACCAGTGGGAGATGGCTGGGCTGCCAGGCCCCCCTGAACGAATGTGAGGAGGGGAAAATGGCATCGTATCCACAACACGTCTCATGATATGACGTGTAGGACAGCCACCTTGTGGGCATGGCTTCTGCCCTCCTAATGGCAGTGGAGGGTCTTCTCTCCAGCCTGTGATGTCCTCTGGCTTCCTGGAGCAGGTCAACCCCCCTCTGGGGAAAGCCCTCATGGCTCACAGAAAAGCTGTGGCCACACTGGGGATGGGAAGGGGGATGAGCACACACTGCTGCTGGTATTTGTGGAGGTTAAGAGTGTGCAGGCTGCAGTTAGTGGCCTGGGTGTGGGTCCCGGCTCCACCACCTGCCAGCTGCCTGCAGTGAGCTTCCTACCCCGCAGGATGGTGAGTGTTCACTGCTTCCCAAGACTCGACTCAGAGCGGCACTAACTCTGGACATCTCCCCTGACACCTGGGGCTGAGGGCAGGCCCTCCCCGTGCAGCACCGGCCCCCTCTCCAATGAAACTTCCTGCTTGGGAGGGTTCCTTACAAAGAGCAGGAGGGGAGAAGGGGAGGAGGGTGGAGGAGATGGCTGGGCTGCCAGGCCCCCCTGAACAAATCATCCCATCTCACCTGCGCCTGGAGAGCCGCTCCTGGACCTTCCTCTCACTCCACCTCCTGCTGTAAAAGATGGGCAGGGATGGATGGGTGGCCTCTGGGACGTCCCCCTCCCTGTGCCACCCCATTTCCCTGTGGGAACCCTCCACTGGTTTACAGCTGCCTCGGCTGGAACCCTGCTCCCATTCTTTTACTAACAAGCTCCAGAGTCCCCAGTCTTGACATTTCTCTGACACCCTGGAAAAATCACAAGGTCAGAACATCCCCACAGCCCGCTGCCCCAGAGAGACAGACAGACAGACAGAGGAATCTGCTGAGGGGATTGCCAAGGAAAAGCAACTCAAACCAAGACAGAAGGAGGCTGAAAGACCCTGGAGGAATTTGCCTGCCTCTGTCTTCAATGTTAACACAGATGTTGCGCATGGTACTTTGCACATGTCATTTTAAATCCCTCCAACAGTCCTGTAAGGAACGGTGGCTGCCTTCATCCTATGGGCGAGGCAGGGAGAGGTTGGATAACCAGACTGAGGTCATTCAGCAAGCAGGTGTCAGGCCCTGAACTCAAACACAGTTCCCTGTGTTTTAAAAGACCCTTTCTGCTTCCCTGTCCCCTGCTGCTACCCAGGACCCCTTGGGGTGGGCCCCATGGACATGGGGACAGACTCACCTTCCTCCTTCAGGCCCTTTGGCTGGTGGCTCATGGTCAGCAGAGCTGGCTCAGCCCCCACTCTGGCTCAGGGGGCTTGATGGCCAACACACGCCTTCAGCCTGGGGTGATTTCCTGCCCTCATGGTGGTTGGCCTCCCTTCCTATGCCCAAGGGCAGCCAAGGCTCTGCGGCTTGATTGAGATTGAATGTGGAGGTAGGTGAAGTGTGGGAGAGAGGCATGAAGGAGGCAAGGTGGTGAGTTCCCAGCCCTTCAATCCGGCCACACACTCCTCAGCTCAGGTTTCCCTGGAGAGAGGCGGTGTAGCCTCACCTTTCAGGCATCACTTACAAGAGCGGGGCCCTGGAGGGGCCAGGAGCTGCTGCTTATCTCCATTTGCACTCAGCCAGGGGAGGTGTGGAGAGCATCCAGGGCCCTTTCCCTCTATCTTGTCCCTGGTTGGGACAAGGCATCAGGGCGTTTGTGAAAGTTATTACCAGGGCTCTGTTTAAAACACAAATTCCCAGGACTACCACTGGGCATTTGAATCAGTAGGTCTAGGCAGGGCCCCCAGACTCTGCACTCCGAATCCTGATGTAAGGCGTCCTGAGGCCACAATGAACTGTTCCCACTCCTACCTCCTGCTCCCCTATCAATTGCAGCTCTGCCCACTGCTGCCCAGTTCCAAAAAGGGCAGCTTTGGCTGATTTAACAATCAGGACCAGAGTTTCAGAGTAGACCCTCCAGAAGACAGTCACAGGCTCTGGAGTGCGGGGTTCTTAACCCGGGGTCCCCGGAACTCTTAGAGTCATGGATGGAACTTTGTGGCTCTGTAAACAGGGATGGGGGAAACATCACATTTTTATTTTTCCTAGCCTTTAACTGAAATTTAGCATTTTCCTAAGAATGTGTGATTCTGTGCCCAATAGAAGTTATAGATCTTTTCATAGCACATTAAGCTGTTGGGGCTATCTCAAAATATCAATTATGCTTATCACTGCTTTGAAATTATGATAGTCATAGACCTGCCAATAGATCTTGCTGTTAAATTATTAGAAAGCACATGTGTCACATGACAGATTTTAAGAAATGATTTGACACTTATTTCAGGATCCTTGGTCTCCTTTATAATCTCAGTATTTTATCTTATGGATTTAAAATCAATGTTCTGAGAAGGGGCCTGTGGATCTCACTAGGGTTCTGGGACACAACCCCTGTGTGCCTGTGGTAGCCATGAAAAGAGGCCTCATCTCTTCTTTGTCACAGGAAGATCCCAAGGCCAGTTCCCTGCAAGCCAAGAAACTCTGCTTACCTCCCACTAGAGGACCGAGGGGGTCTCACCAGCAAGAGTCTACTACCTCCAAGGATGAGCTGCTTACTCCCTCTTTAAGCTGCTCTCTTCGCTGACACACACACTGACTTTTGGGATGGCTCATTCTGGTGCCTACTTATGAAAGATTCACAAGCACAGAAAAATCATCATTGGAAGCATCCAGAGCTCTCATCCCCAGATGGCCAGGCACACACACAAAGTTTGCTTGTTTGTATCCATGGAGCCCAAACTAGCCCCGAAACCACTTCCCAAGACTCTTTGATTGTGTTGACCACACTTGACAATTTGACTCTATCTCCACTCCCCCACCCTGTGTTCCTTCAAGTGTGAAACAGGTCTTGACCCTCCACAATTCCAGGAAAAGGGGTACCCAGTCTTGTTTGTGGGGAGGGATCAGGGGAGACCTCCAGGAAGCAGTGTGCTGAATTGAGTTTTAAAAGGTGAGAAGAGGCCCGGCCAGGCATGGCTCAGAGGTTGAGCGTCGACCTGGGAACCAGGCAATCAGGGTTCGATTCCCCGGTCAGGGCACATGCCTGGGTTGCGGGCTCAATCAATGACTCTCTCATCATTGATGTTTCTGTCTCTCTCTCTTCCTCTCTCTGAAGTCAATAAAGATATAAAAAAAAAAAAAAATTAAAAAAAAAAAAAAGGTGAGAAGAGGCCAGAGGAGGGTTCCTGGGCTGAGGTAACAGCAGGAACAGGGCAAGAAGTCCGCCATGCGTCTTTAGGTGTTGCTGGTGGGTAAGTTTGAGGCACGGCTGGGAGGAGGGTGAGGCCAATGGGTGGCTGGGAGGATTGTGGAGGAGACTTGCAACTGTCTTTTAAGGATGCAGAACCTTTGATTCTTGAAGGATAAAAAATATCTTTCAAGGATACAAAACTCTGAAGAGTTTCGATCCAGGGCACAGCAGGTCTCAAACTAACAGAGGGTTAGAAGCAGGTGGGGCATAGCCTCTGTGATGCTCAGTCATTGAATCCTAAAGGGTTTGCCGTCCTTAAGAAACTCCAGCCACTGGGCGTGGAGAGACAGGATACAATATCACACTGCGACTACCAGTGGGAGAGAACAGGTATCCTGCCTGTGGCCTCCGGTGGGTGCAACGCAGGTGGGGCAGCCACAGCTGGGCAAGGCCTTTCCAGGCGACTGGCTTGGGTATCACAGTTAGAGTGATGTCCCTATTTGGTCTTTCCTGGGGAGCTTCCAAGCCTACTGGGGCTAACTCAGCACTTTGACAAATGCCTGATTCTGTTAACATTCTCCTTGCATCATTGCTGCCTGCTCTAAGGTGGGGGGATGCACAGGGACTCGAACACACCATTTCCCCTGGGGCAGGTGGTCGATTTCTTTCAGAGGATGAGAAGTTGTGTACCTGAGACCACCAAGAGACTTCCTGTCAGGAGAAAAGCTCTGCTTCTTATTTGGGGGAGATGCAACAGGGTCGGTAGTCCATCTCTGAGAATAAACTATATCCCAAATAATTGTCAGGTGAGGTCTGAGGTCTGAGGAGATCCATCAAGCCTCTGGGACAATTCCTTCTCTGCTTTGCCCTGGAGTTTTGCCTCATCAAGATTTGTGGTGATTTCACCATGTCTGTAATGTGAAACCTCTTGACTTCACACTTGCAAGTTTTAAGAAACATAATCTAGTTTGAAGGCAGTGAAACCAAATCAGATGGCACAGAAACATCTTTTCACTTTTCATAAAATATTCTTGTTTTTATTCTGCTTAACACAAGCTTTAGCTAATTAATATTTGAGTTACATTTCTTGGGCATGCAACTCAAACATTGTTTCAAAGGGTAATAATATTGGAGTGGTGTGCTCTTAATATTTTATCAGGATGGTGGACATTTCTATTGCTAGGGTTGAGTATGGTGCTGCAGTAATTCTCTTTCAGGGGTGTGGCTTCATCTGAGAAAATAAAACCTTAAAATTTAATATGACAACGACAAAATAACATGTGCAATTTCAACCAAAAGTCACAGGGCATCTAAATCCGATGGTGCTTTTGTCTCAAAAGCCCTTGTTAATGGGAAAGCATCTCGAGCCATCTTGTTAATTTATCTCTCCAATTAAAAATACATATGTATAATTAGCTATGGGTATCTGCTTACAAAACATCCAGTGCGGCTCACAGAACCTTGTAAACCAGCACAATGGAGAGGATTGGGTGACAGGAGGTAACACCCTAGCTGGGCTAACGAGCTGGTGCGTGGCCAGGTCGCTGCCCCTCACCTACTGCCCACACCAAAGAGCTCCCTGCTGGGGCAGTTTGTGGTGCAGGGCAGCAGAGGGCCGTGGAGATCTGGAAGGCAGCCATGCGGCCCTGCAAGCCTTGGGGCGTGCATTAGGAACGGGGTGTTTCTAACGCTCCTTTGGGCAGTGTCTTAGTTCCTTGACTTTACTCCATCATCACTGAAGGTGGAACAGAGCTTTGGGACTTGTTTGCAAGGAACTGCTGGCATTGTCTCTGCCATTTTGGCTCTTAGGAAGGGAGACCTACACCCAGGTATTTGGGACCTGAGGGAGCATTACCACCAGGGCAAGGGATGATCCTGCCAGAGATAAGCCAGGTAGATCAAGAAATTGGCTGGACATGCTCTACACAGGCCACGAGAAAAATGGCATCTAGGCCATGCTTTTTTTTAAAAAAAGTATATCTTTATTGATTTCAGAGGGGAAGGGAGAGGAAGAGAGAGAGAGAGAAACATCAATGATGAGAGTCATTGATCAGCTGCCTCCTGCACGCCCCCAACTGGGGATGGAGCCCGCAACCTGGGCATGTGCCCTGACCGGGAATCGAACCTTGATCTCCTGGATCCTAGGTCGATGCTCAACCGCTGAGCCATGCCCGGCTGGGCCAGGCCGTGGTTTTATGTGTCTGCCTCTCCCCGCACTCCCCTACCCCAGGAAGCAGAGTATGGGAAAAAGAGCTGGGAGCCAGGATTCTGTTGCTTCTTCCTGTCTCAGACAAGGACAATGAATAACTGGAATGCTCAGTACAAGCAAATGTGTTAAATTAATAGACAAACTATACGCATAACTGTCACCTGAATCAAGTCCCTCTTCAGCCCCCCACTGTGTATGGGCCATAAGGAAGATAATGAAGACTTCTATGCCTTCGCGTTTTCATCTGTTTGGTGGAAATAATTTTGCTCCCACTCCTACAGGGTCCTGGGGATTGAGTGAGATGACAGGGCTATACAGGAACACCCCAGAGCTCTGAAGAGTTCAGAGGGGTCTCTGTGGAATTCCTGCTCACTGTCAAGTGGCTCACAACCCAGTGCTGGGACCTGTGGTGCATCTCAAGCCCCACTTTTACCAGGGCACAGACCAGCCCCTTTTCCTCGGCTCCTCCACACTCTGGCCTCTGCTGTGCTCTCTGGGGACTCTTTGGCTCTAGGAGGGGAGCAGCTTGTACTCTATTCCACAGAGCAGCACTAAGCCTGGGCTGTGGTATGCAATCCCTTGCCATCAATAGTTTGCAGGTAATCCAGTGTGGTTGTATCAGAGCCCAGGGTGGGAAATGTCAAACAGGGACAACTTAACAGCTTGAAGTTCCTTGGCAGACTGACCCCCATCCCTAATGCTTGGAATTCCACCTGCCACTTTGTTTCTAGCCCTCACTCTCCCTAGCAAGGCACTATTCATCTGGTAAACTAGAATATCAGGGTCATCACACAGTTTGGGGTGCTGAAAAGACCTTGACTGAGCTGTAGATT